AGCGGGGTATCTTATTTTCAGAAAAGCACTCCGTATGCATGTCCCCAAAGACAAGTGTGACTATTGGCATAACCTCCATTTTCTCGCTCCCGGTACAGACCCGGCCAATATCGCCCTCAATCTTGCCACGGAACGGGTTGACGGAACCAGATCAATACTAAAAACACGGTTCCTCACAGTTTCGTGCTCGGACTTTAAATGGATGTAAGCAAGTTACATGTCTACCGACGAAAGCATATCCTGGTCTGGATTAAGGACATCGGGCTGTTCTAGTGTGATTAATGGCTGTGTGATGGGTTGTTGTCCTTCCCGCACCTCTCTATCTTTAACTTTATCCTTTTTGTTTAACTGTGTGTTAATATTTGATAGCACTCATCCAAAGTACAGCAGGAGTTTACATATCCCCGCGTAAAGGTTAATAAGTTGCATGCAATCAGGCCAACATATTAATGCACTGAACCATTCATTATTAATTTCAGCAGGAAGAATGCACAACGATAAAACCTGCAATTAGATACATCACAACACAAGTTTTAAAAAGTCAATACCAAATTTTCTTAGAAGGACCAAATGTTGTTTTAGGGGCTAGAATAAACTCATTATATCAACATGCACCATGCTCGTGGGGGATTCTTGAAAAATTAACTTAATTACGGCTACTATCTACCTATTTGCCAGTTAATCTGCCAATCACTCTCATGTATCTTTCTCTGACTGTAGCCCATCGGCGAATATTATTTTTTAAGACGTCGCCTGGCAGAGAAAAACAGAACCGTCTGTGCCACGCACGGCATACGACAGAACTGAGTACAGAATGTGCATAGACTTTACGGTCTTTCTATAACACCTCGGATACTTTGAGCCATTATTGGCTTCGTTCCCGTTCCGAATTTGCTTGATTTGAAGTCCCTGCAGGGAGATTTCAACTGAACATCGAAGTACGTAGTATCAAGAAAGAGATGGGAGCTTTTTCAAGTCTTCGTCTGACAACATGATATTTATACATGGTTCAGTGGCGTACATTTGTGCCGCAAATTGAGGGGATGGGGGATGGGGAAAGGTGAGGGGATGACTTACCCGTCCATGAAAATTTGAAAATCGAGAGGAGGGGGGCTGACACCATATGACTCTATACAGAGGCCGGTGTTCATGCTACTGATGTAGACCCTACATCCGTAATATGTATTACATTCACATTTGTGGCTTTTTATCATTGTTTTCTCTTTTTTGAGCGATACTGAATACATTTTAGTCGTTGGCAAGTCCGAAAAATTCTTTGCAATCCGCTTTAATTTTTACTCTCCCGGAAAAGCACCACAAAAGGGGGGGGGGTGATTCAGTAGCCCCTCCTCAAAGAGTTGGGAATATAGGCCTACATGCGATATATATAAACCCCCCATCTCCCCGAGATTTACGCCCATGACATGGTCTGTGGGCCGGAACGACGAACAGGATGCGACGCAAAGTTTGGAGAGAAGCCCCTTGAGTGAGTTTTGCTCTTGCAGCGGGCGATTCTCTTTGTGTTTGACAGCCTACACCACATTATCACAGACTGGTTAAAGATAATCGGAGTGCTGAAGGACAATAACACTTGTGACACTGCAAAAAGTATTGTTCTAGTGATCATAATGTTGAATTTAGGCTACTGTTCGTGAGCATCACCAGGTGGCGCTGTTTCTCTGCGATTTCACGCTGTTTTCTATGGGCGCTCATTTCGTGCCGTGCAGAGCTGTATTACTTGACTTTGTGGGTTGAAAGCATCAGATAGGCCGTGAAATTGTGTTCTCAAAATGATTACTTAGCTCCTAGTCAGTGTAAACAAACCCTGGCATTTCGTTTGGTTAGTCTGATTAAGAGGCTACACTGACCTTCTGTTCTGGAACCATGTCTTGATCTGTGTCTCAGTCAGGTTCAGTGCCATGGACAGCTCCAGCCGCTTGCTGACACTCAGGTATTTGTCGGCCTTAAACTCGTCCTCCAGCCGTTCCAGTTGCTTGGAGGAGTAGGCCTGCCGTGGTTTCCGGTCCACTCCAGGCTTTCTAGGCCGTCTACCCAGCGGTTTTGGTCCTGAAGGGAGGGAGGACATATCACCATATAAACAATTCTCCTGCTGTAGCGGACTGAAAATATTAACATGATGACGTCCACGGAACGGTTCTACCGTATTTGGTGTTTATAGGTATGCTATTCTGAGGCAAATGATTAGCCTTTAAGTTGAATCTTCTTTGTGTCGATTCTGATTTTTTTCCTTTACTCAAGGGGCACAGTTTTAAACTTCCGCAATCAGTTTGTTTCACATCTCCGAATAATTGTCACATTAAATTGCTGTTTCAGTGATACCGCAAAGATATTTTGGCTACGTAGATTCACCTGATAACCGCTGAGGTCTGAAATGCTTTGGGCACAGTCGTACTATTTGCCAAATCGGCAACCTGAAGACACAGTCCAGACAAATTGAATTACCGAGAAGCGGGTATTAATGGGGCGAGTTAAACGGGCAGTGCGTTGTATGTGATTAAGCGGCAGGTGTGTTGCCGGCCAAGGTGAAGTAAGAGGCCCGGCCGCACGAGAATCTAGATGAAGACGGTTGGAGGGGACGTTAGATTCCGAGAGATTCATTCTGTTCAGGTCTTTTTGGCGCAAGTTCATCTTTAAATGCTGCAGTTTGTATGAAGCTTTTTCAAAACTGCGCACCATGCAGGCCACGACTCAAAAAGAAAATGAGAAACTCCAGATAGAGCGACTGAAGGAAAATAACATTCACTGAACATTAATAAACTAAAAGAACATCAAAAAAGGAAAATCTTTTTTAATGGTGAGACATGAAATATTGTTAGCTTTTTCAAGCAACTGGGTTTTTATTTTTATATTTTACACTGTTCTTAGCTTTTCAAAACAGCTCAAACCTTTTAAAGCAGAAAATCTCAATAGGAATCTTTGAAGTATCTCAAAGCTTGCCTTGCTTTTTGACAAAAATTTCTCAGGGAAATATCAGGGTATTTATTGAGGCAGAAACCATTTCTTGAAGAATTGAAAGGCATCAATGTGTTAATTAAGGTATCTTTTTTACAACGCGGAAGTGATGCGCAACATACATGATTTCAACTCATTTAGTGTCTTGTCACGTCTTGTTATGCAAAATCTCTAAGAGTTCGTTGTAATCTTTCTTCAAGAGAGATTGGTTATCATTATGGGTTATTTGTTAATTTTATGATAATTTTTATGCGTATTGTTTTATTTTACTTAAACGCACTTAGGTTTTTCATCAGTCCATACTGACAAGAGTTTCCTTTCGAAGGACCAATAAATGAGGCCATTGAACTTTTTGACTTTGTTTTACATGCGCGAAGTTTAAACAGATTCTGTTATACAATATCAGCTCAACATTTCGAGTAGTTTCATTCGCTAAGATATTAAAATTTAGTTGCGATAAAACGTTTTAGTGAAGATAAAAGATATGCTTAATGGGAAGACGGAAACAAACGGTATTATTTTAAAAGATATCAAATCTCCAAAACTACCACAAGCCATTTGATGATGAGTCGCAGGACTTGGTGCGTCTTGATAAATAATTTCAGCCCATCAACAAAGGTAAAAGTGTCTGAATTAAGTGCACTTGCTCGTCAAATCGTTACCCCGATGTATCGCAGCAAAGTCCCTTTCGTTCATTGTCCCTTTTGTGTCAAGTTTTAAGACCTATCGATGTTCCCTCTGTTTGCTTGTTGTATGTTACGGTACCAAGGACATGTTATGGCCAACAAAATAGGGCTAAACAAACTGCTAGTCGATACTTAACTTATCGATACCCAACTTTACCAGCTCGGAGCAGCCTGCCCCCACACAACCGAACCATAAAACGCTATTTGGTAGGTTGATACAGGGAGAGATTGTTCACCAAACCAGACGACAATGAAGCCATATGAATAATTGACGAGGCAGACAAACTGTAGACGTCTAATGAGGCACTTAGTATCGACTCCCTTGAGGAATTCATGACACCACAACCATAGAAGCGACAATATTTATATCGTAAATTTAAACACCGTATCAAGGAATACTTCACGCCATTCACCTCAGTTATACTCTTATTAAACAACCAGAGAAGTGAGAAGAGTCCTCTTTTGGCAATAAGACAGCTTAGTTAAGTGAATAGCATGATTAAGACTGATAGTTTCGAGGGGATGTTTTGGGGGTAGCACTGCACTATTCCACCGGTAGTGGACTGAACAACACCGGAACGGGATAACACTCTGATGTTCGTATATCCTAGCGGTGTGTAGCGCTGGTACCCGGCTGTGTTATTCTTGTGACCGGTTATTATTATTAACAACTAACTGTGGCACAATCAATACCCATGGTGGTTTTGTTAATAGTCGGATCAGGCAGACAAAAGCCCTGCCCGGCTTAGCAGACACAACAGTGATCCAAAAGCTGTCAAAAAGACCCGAGTATTATGTACCAGCTAAAAAGTTAAGGGGGGGATGACCCGGCCCCTGCCGTCGCTGGGGTTCCAAAAGTGCCTTTTCTCGGCGTGAGGCACTCTGAGAGCGTCGCTCGATAACAATCAACACGGACAACAAAATACCTAGTCTGCGGTAATGTGGGTCTCCGATCAATTCGTCCGGTGGCGCTAACACACAGTTTGAAAAGAAGATGGGTCATTTTTGCCACCCGAGTGGACAGAGAACAATTCCATCGGAGGCCGTCTGGATGGGTAAAAAGAAGCTCTATTATCTTGCTGGGCCAATGATAACCACTGTGCTTTATTTCAAATTATGCTGAAAGTTGCTAACATTAAATGTTCCAAATCCGTTTACAGATTTTCCCCGACGTTGAGACAGAACCGATGCTTTAGAGGTTTGACCATGGTTTGTCGGTTTGATTGACGCAATCTGGCGTTCCTTTTTACTGCAAACGATTCTTGTAAAATGTAGTTTGATTTTCAGAACACTTTATTGCTCGGTCATCATCAAAGGAACACCATGAATTCATCACCGAAACTTTGTGTCAGCTACTTACATTGCATACAATTTGTTGTGTTTAAAGTTTACACATTTCAACGTTTCAAAAGTATGGGAATGTTGTCTAAACGTTTCTCAGATTAATCGTAAATTCCTCCCCTGAGTTAACATGACAATTCCTCAGTGGTATGAGTTACACCGCTAAAGCTCCTGCGACGCAGAATCATTTGACAGATGGGTGAGCTTCAGCTTTAAAAATGAAAACAAGTTTTTGAAGAAATTCTGTGTTAAAGGATTTAAGATACAAGACCGTAGGTATAATTGTTGTCTCCAAAAATCTGTACATCTGCATAATTTTATAGTCTCTTTTCAGTCGCAAATGCCATAAGAAAGAAAGATGTGATAAACATTGAACCTTTATATTTTTTTCTTTACAACGCATTCTTGATCCATTTTTAGTGCGCAATACAACTTGAGTTGTCGAAGAAAATGATTAAAAAGTGATTTGTAAAAGTATTAGGCGTTTAAGGATGTACAACGTAAGCCTTTAACAATCGATAAAAATGACTTTCCTTAATTCATATCCTCAAACAAAAATGTATACTTAATTAATGTGCTGCTGGGAATGGACCTACTGCTTAATTCTCATATTTTTTCTATTGTAAGCAGATCGCAATTGCAACACCCGCTCTGTTCAATTGATAACCATTTATAAACGCTGGCAAACTGATTTCATATGACCGATATCTTCCAAACAAACACGTGGATAGTAATTAAAACTGCTTTTTCGTGACTTTTAAAAATTAAAGACATAAAACTTTTCAGTTAACAGGTTGGATTCTTTGCTTGGATGAACTGATGCTCAGCTTTGGCATCTATTCCGAAAAATTTAACGACAGGAAAGAGGACTGTCGTTAAGAGGTTTCAAAGAGAAAAAACGCAAACAACTCCAATGTAAAGATCTTAATTACATACTTGTACTTAAATAATGGAAAGAGTGAAAATCAAGGTATGAACGTATGTTGGGACATCAATTAACAAGTGCACAGCAGGTGGAATTTCAAAACACTGAGGTAATTTTTACAATGATACATGCAAACCATTCTCAAATAAACACCTCCTGGAAGCGGTAAGTTTTCACAGCAGGTTGGTAGAAGGAAAATCACCTGCGAACATTTCAAAATAAACTTTGTCAGGGCCCAGTTTAATTGCAGGCTTGAAAAATCCAACGGATGTAAGAAAAAAGTAAAAAATTAACGCTCTATCCATTTTAATTTAAGGATGTTGTGACATGGAGCAACATGTGAGGCCTGAGGATGCGTTTTGAATTTTTTGTTCTTTTTTAGAGGAGATTAGCGATAGTTCCAACCATCATTTGGAGAATGTACAGCGTCTATTCCGCTGAGGCAACTTGAAATCTTACTACTTGATCACATAATCAGAAACGTACCGCAGAATACCTTGGATCAATTGCACTAGTGAATGCCAAGGCCTCAAAATCAATGTCCATGACTGCATTACATCGTGGTAGGAAGGTAAAACCACTTACCTGGTATATTTGGCCGGCCAAAGCCTGCTGCTTGACACCACGATGACCAGACGGGCATACCACCAGGAGACGCCCCGTAAGCGTACTGCAAGGCCGCAGCTGTTGGGCCGCTGCACCAGTGGCCTGGCGGGGGTAACCCCCCGCCCCCTGCTGCCCCAGTCACCACAGGAACCGCTGTCTCCCTCACCGCCGTCGGACGGACCAAGTGTGCCCCCGTGTCGACGGGGGATTTGGAGCGTCCCGTCACGAGGTCTGCAGTCCCTTCGGCCGGCCGGTCCTCCAGTTTGTGGTGGTTCCGGCTGTGGTGGGGCGGTGTGGCTTGTGCGGAGGAACCGAGAATCTCAGCAATGGAGAAGGAGGTCTTAACAGCGGGTGGCGGCGGGGGTAGGTCCCCGCTCCCGTTGCTCTCTCGCCCGCTGGTGTCCGGTGACGGTGTTGGGACAAGCAGCTCCAAATTGGCGTCTGTACTACAGAAACTGTCCTCTCCGTTCATCAAGCCAACTTCCATGACTTTATTCCTCAAAAGCAAATGGTTTCAACTTCTAGAAATGGGCCAAGTTATTGGAGTTCACGCATTTAAACTCTCGTTCAACTGTTATGATTTGTTCATACTCGTTGCTTCCGCCACGTATGTGGATAGCTCTAATGTAAGATCTGCTTTTCCCACGTCCTCAAATATTTTTCTCATTGAGTAACGTCAAGTAACAAAAGGTTAGAGTGTCCAACTAGCTTTCGTTAAATGCAATCCGTGTTTTTGATGTACAAGCATCGATGGGGTATTTAATTCTCATAACATTTTAGGTACGACTAAGCCCTCGTTAGGAAATGAATGGCGCATGAGAGCAGTCGAGCCAGGCCGGCGATCACCACACAAAGCGGCCGCCGATCGTGAGTGGCTCACTGGGCTTGAAAAAAATCGATCGCCCCGGTGCCCATTGGCTCAAGGAAACTTGGGCAGATCACGGACCTCGCACACGGTGTCCGAAGCAAGAGTGTTTATACACCAGCGATACATTTGACACCAAATTTCAAGTAACTGATCAAATCGCGATGGTGGTTTGCCATACCAAATGACAAAGTTTTGTCTGTTTTTTTTTGGGGGGGGGGCTGTTTTGACAGTTACCCTTTGTTTTGTACTTTATATTTCCTTATCCAGAATTTTGGGAGTGCGGAGTGCAAATCTCTTTTGAGAAGAATAGAATTTCAAAAGAAATCGTTTGAAGCCTGTCTAAATGCCTGAAAACCCATAACAAAGTCGCCTGGTTTTGAATTTAAGGTTTGAAGCAGCTACCGAAATTTATGAGAACATATTTCAACATACGAGTTCCCCAAACGTTTTCAAAGGAGTCAATCCTCAAACATTCCCCACATTGATCCATTCAGTGTGCATTTTATAATATCCATTGTGATGACACTGTGATGGAACCCGGATAGTGCACGCAAACTTCTCTTGGTGGCGTTACTCGCATGCAGTTACAAACCCGTGTATCTACGTTCAATGCAGCAGTTTGTTCTGGTAAGTTTACATCATTTGTGATGAACGAGCAGTTGTTGACATGTCGTCAAGATTACAGAAGCGCAAACTGCATGGTAAAAATCTATTCTCACTACTTCAGACATACTTCATTGGTTTCCCCATCAGTAAAATTGATCATGAATTATTTAGTGCCACGCCAGAATGAGTAATACAGGAAAAGGGTGGGTGTGTGTGTGACGTTTTTAAAATTTATTTTCTTTGTTGAAGGTGACCTCGTTAACAAAAATAAATACACTTGTAATAGAACCCATGCATGACACTATGAAAAGAAAGAGGTTTTTGCCCAAATCACGTGACGCAACTTAACAGATGTTTGGTCGATGTACATGCATTTAGCTATTAGCCTAATTTTCGAATGTAGACAAAATTGAGCATGTGGAAACAGCAAGATCCAACGGCCAATGGATTTGTGGACAAATATCTAGCGGAGTGGTGGTGGGTATGGCTTGATTTCGTGTTGAAAATAGAGTGCCGCAGCCTGCATATCCCGACCTCGGGTCATTATGGATCGAAACGAGCATTGGAAATGCACGGGGAAAGTATACGATTGAAAGTTTCGCTATTTTGTGTGTTTATTTGAATAAACATTAACCTTTTGATGTGGAATGAATTATACTGCATATGCTGTATCAGAAAAAAAAGTATATACGCAAAATGGTTATCACACACACGCGCACCCACACGCACAAAAACCAAACAAAAACAAACACCTTACGATGGTTGCTATTTGACATTGTTCCCAGTGGTTCGAATACCTATAAATTAAACCAAAATAGCTTCAGCTCTGTATGGCTCCAGCGTGTACAGGGTTTGCTGTAAGAAAGTCGCAGTTTGAAAAAAATAATGGCCATCCTCGTGTTCAGTCTACCGCCCTCAGCGGGTTATGCATGAGGCAATTGTGTTACAATGGTGGCTAAGCTCTGTTAAGTACGTGTACAATGTATATTAATAACATGTAAGCATCTTCAACAAAGGGGATATGTCAACGACCTACTGGCCGAAGAAAAAGTAGGCTTACCTTTCCGCGTTTGATGACCAGCGGTTACTGTGGGCCATATTGCAGATATAGGTGCATTAATTAATAGCCATTGATTTTGGCCCTTTCAGACGACAGTTATTGAGTTGAACTTTTGGGGAGTGCGTGAAACCCTTCCAGGGCATGGTTCATTTACTCCCTTTAAAGCAAGGCTAGCTGGTATTACATCGATATAGTTTATTGCTTCATCAAACAGCCTAATGGTCTGTTTTGGGGGTAGTGTTACGTAATCAGAAAAATCAAGTGTAGACGTGCACTCTCGACAAAGTGCATCGTGAACTGCAAACACAACGACGCGGTTAACGGCGAGGAGTCGCACAAGCCAAAAGCACCGTGTTTTCGAAGAACAATATTCACAATGTCACCATGAAGGCACCAATGTGCAGCAACGAAGCTAAAATAGGAGCTACTTTGCTATAAATCTTTAAACCAAGCAAATGTTTCCAAACTTCGTGACACATCCTCTCGGATAAATTCTTCCCAAAGTTTGTAAATTCTATTCGAATTTACCAATTTGAATTTTGTTTAGTTTATTTTTTTTCACGAAGGCATATATTGGCTGAGGTTTCAGTGACCAATTTAAAGTTATTTTAGATAAAACAGTCCTTATAAATTGCACCTTTTAATTTCATTAAATATTATTTTCAATTGCCGTTCTGCCATTGTAAGGGCTTTTGGTGCCGCATTTCGATCTCATGCTGTTATTGCGAAATATAAATGTTTATATTCTAACTGAGAAAAGTTTCTTAGGTACACAATGTGAATCGATTTTTTCTATAAAAGTGGTGGTTCCAAGAGGAACCAGTGAGTGCAAACTCGACGTTTCGACCAGGATGCTCTGGTCCTACCTCCTCGGTTGAACCATTTTTATAAAGCAAAAAAGAGTACTCTTTAGACAGTATAAAAAGTAAGTACAATCTTTTATTTCGTTGGTTTTTTTTCTTTTAAACTTTACCCCATTGTTGAATTGACACTTTAAAGTTACTCAGGGAAATTATTTTGTACTTCCTAAAATTAATTTTAGATGCAACTGAGTACTCTCCTGTATAAGTTGTCTAAATAAAAAAGAATAGAGGTCATCACCCATCAGAGAGACTGAAAAAAATTGGGGCCGGCTATAATTACATACAAAATTCTGTTCGTCTCCGTTTTCACCTGATGCCAGCGTTTACTTTATCTCATATTCCACAACTCACGATTTTCTCAGTACTTGTTAATGGAAACACTAAAATATGACATCATCATTATCCCTCGGTCGTTCCACCAACTTACAGCATCCCAAATCACTGAAAGACAGTCCCACCTGGACCCATGGGCATCCCCCTCTTTCTAAGTAAATTGTGCCGCCAGCACCCCCTTCAAGTGTACCTCTTTTAAAACAACGGCCAGCGCGCGAGGGGAAGTGTGTATGTGAGGGGGGGGCACAGCTAAACCGACTGCCCCGTAATCTTAACTCTCTAGCCCCGGCAAAGAAAAAACACGAACAGTTTCGCCGCGTTAATCATCCTTGTATGTAACGAAACACTGACGTGCTACATGCCCCAAGTCAGCCCGCTGACTACAATAAATTTGACGCCATTGCAGATAAAAAATGATTGGATTTTAATGAAGTTAATCGGACCGGCTGGTTTGTCTTCGACTCTTATCCCGGGGCCCATCACAACCCCTTTCCAGTTGCAATTTTTCTACCAGTCCATTTTCACCGCGGTCGAGCGGCTTTTTTGCGCCAGTAAAAGCCACCATTCAGCCAAGTGTCGCGAGGCTAGGCTCGGTTTGTGATTAACTATCGATGGGACTTCATTTGCGACACTTGAAACATACCCTAAAGATCCAGTTAAAGCCGAAACACAGCAGCAGCAGCGCCATGCATCACTTTAATATCTTCAGCGCTTACCAGCAACACCGACCGTCTTGAAGCGATGGTGGGTTGGTCCTTTTTAGATGGTGAATTAATATTTTGCTCCCACAGGCTGGGAAAATGTAATTGCAGTATTTCCCCATGGGACGAAGCCCCATATGTCTTGCTCTTTGCATCAATAGAACCGGCATTAACCGATAGAAAATCGGCGTAAACTACATTAATTTCTGCTAGTATTACCAACCGACCGTCGGTTTAAATGCTAAAAAACCTAAATCGTCATTTTTTTAATGGAAGGACGCATTTTCTTATATGTCGTCCAGTGAAATTTCCATTGTAAATAACCAGCAAATAGGTAGTGAGAGGACTTCTAAGTTTGCTGAGGTGCCTAAAAATGCTTGATGTATCGACTTGTATTATGATGTCTTCGTCGACTTTGTGCCAAGGTGATTGAAAGATTACAATCGTGCTGTTCAGAACTGGCTGGCTATGTCGAGGCGGTCTGATCAGGGATGCATGATCAGTTTCATATTTGTTTGATAACCTAATATTACTACTCACTAACTTTTAGTAGCATCATCTCAGCCTTTCTCGCAAAAAAATCACAGAATACGTTGAAAGTAGACCATTGAAAAGATCAACATAACATTCCACATTCCTTTATCCCTTCAAAAGAATGCATCCACTTTTGAATCAACCACCTGAAGTAGTTTGCACAACAACTTTTTTTTTTACACCAAGCTCTGGCGAACAGTACATTAGGCAAGCCGTTGACGATATTATTTCGCCGTGAAACCGATACGCTCAATTAGGCGAAATCTCATTGGAAATGTGGCTTGATGTTTGAACTGGAACTGTCACAATTGTCGCATATTCCAAGAGCTGCGTCAGAGGCCTCAATTCTACAAACATGGCTACGAGTATACACACACAGTCCAATGTGTGCATTGATGACATTAGGGCGAAGATGCCGTCCAGTCTCGATCGTGTTCGTCGCTTCCCCCCACCCCCCCACCCCACCCCTTCGCCCCATCACCTATCCCTCAACACTTTTTTTTTCTCGAGGTTTAAGGATCGCCAGAGTCTTGCTGCGCTCCACGCGTGGCCATATACAAGCTCTCCGCAACATGCAGGCGCGGTGGAATGGAGTGCAGTCGGCCTGTAGAGATTAAAATCGAAACGTCAAGAAACGAAGCTCGGAAGATTGTGTCCACACGCAGGGTCCACCTGATTCAATATTGTCTCTCCATAAGCACGGCCCTTTCGCCTCTTCCGAAGCAAAGGGGTAGCTAATGGAGAGTTGTTCTCGAGTGGCATATATTTCATTATTGATTCGCGGGGGGAATTTAACCGCACTTGAAGTTTGATGACATTTGCTTCGCCCGCCGCGGAGAGAATTAAGAGACGAGGGGAAAATTGATATAAAAAAATAAATTGCCACTAGTGAGGTGAACAGATTTGCGTTATTTGGTCTTCAGTATCAATAGGGCACTGTTTAAGGTCTAGCTTTCTGTGAAGTGGAACATTTGTTGTTGATATAGCTCAGTATAAGTTCTTTTTTTTATCTGTCTCATTTCGGCCTTATACTTACTTCCCTGTCACAGGCAGGGTAGTGATGTAAGTAGTTATTGAACGAGGTGGCTTGTGGCTAAGGCTGGTCATTAATTACAGCATTTAGGGATCCGGTTTGACATTTACTGATGTGATTAAGAGGGTTAAATGTGCACACTACTGGGCATTAGACCGTGTAATTATGACAAGCAAGGAACGAAAAATGGCTGGCGAGATATGTAATAAAGTTGGCTATATACCGCCATCGGGTTATAATACAATTCCCCTTATTTATCTAGCTGTTTCTCCTGAATTAAGCACTTAAGATCGTAGCCCGTCTGTTTAAACTCGGGGATGTTCGATCCCCTTCGTCTTAATTCTCTGCGCGGTGAAAATTCCTCCCGCTAATTGAATAAGACGACCGATGGGAGGAGAACACTGTCCTCCTCGACGGAATTATACACAACGGAGGGAAAATAACGATAGCGATAATAATAACATATTACTTTATTCCTTTGAACAAATATACTGCCAAATGTAGCGGCCTTTTGGAGTGGAGGGAAAGATTGCAGTTTTTCATGGGAAGAAAGCGTAATGGCCTTTTTTTCTCAAATGAGTCGGTAAAGTGCATCCGGTCTTGATCGGGGATACGCGTTCAGTTGGTCAATTTCGAAATTTCGTTTTTGCTTGGTTTGCATGGACAAGGCGCAGAATCGGCTGCGCGGGAGGCCAGAGCTACAGTTCTGCGCACGCTCACGGTGGAGTATTCAGGAGAAAAGAGGCTCGTAGGATGTTGTCTTTGAGATTTGGAGCCTCCTTTTTCATTAAAAAAAACCATATTTTACAAATATTATTCAGTTATTTATTGCCCTCCGGGACTAGCTTTAATGTGTTATGGTATGGCTTGATGCCACCTCGGGTTTCATGTCAGCCAGTTCCTCGTTGGGATTGCTTGCCATCGATTCCCTGTTGATGCTTCTGTAGTATATTTAAGGTACTCTGATTGAAAAAAAACCTGTGGTGTTAGATTAACACTGTACAGAATCGATACTGATCGCGTTAACGAAATATCGGAGCTTTCGTAGTGACCGAATTATTACCTAAGTTTGATTGGAAAAGATTCCCTACATAATAGGCCGTAGGCACTGGGCACGGTGCTCGCCTTGTAACCACAAATGTTATGTTCCAGTTATTTTGCATGAAGCCAGTTGTGCATCATGCACGCGTCTCAACAATCTCTGATGCAAGTCGCCTGGGTTTCGTGGTTACTTAAATAACTTACCATGTTTCGCCCACTCCTCCCCTATCTCCCGCCTCCGCCCATCTTTTTTCAACCCCCGACCAATTCTCGGAGATCCATTAACACTAATGTAGCAACAACAACCTCGTCCCCTTTACCGGGCTTCCTCGAGGGCAGCCTTTAAAATGCCTTGCCCCCATTAACAAAAATAAGACCGGTTCAATTATTTTTTTTTTCCAGATCAGCACAAGACCTGCAAAAATGGGAAGCTGAAAGTGTTTTTAGCGCGTCCACACGCCCGACAGCCGTCTAAATCTACCCCTTCAGACCGCTGGGCAAGAGAGTACTGAGTGAGCAATGTCGATACATGGTCACGTTTTCTGACGCCTGTTTTTCTGGAAGGGGAGCGGGGTGCTTGTGTCGATACACTTCACTCCACAAACTTTACTTGGAAATGCCACAAACCACCACGCGTCTCAAATCCTGAGGGTGATGTCAAAAACCATGCATCCGCTGAATAAAAGCGACCTAATCAGACCCACTCTCCATCCACAAGAAAACCAGAGGTCTCTCTCCCAACCCTGCCACGAACAAGCGGGCCCAGTTACATTATTGCTATTCAATTATCTATAATCTCTTCGCCGAAGCTGAATCAACACAGCCATCGATCAGTGCAATTTCTGAAAATACCCTTAATGGCAACTGTCTAATTCATGCCATTAGACGCGGGGGGGGGTGGCGGCAGAGGGGGGATCTCTCCTCGGCAGACGGGCGGTTTAGCCCCGTGACAGCCATCACCAAGTGACTGGCTTACTGGCTCAACCATCCATTGCCTTTACCTCTTCCTTGTCTTTTCCATTCTCTCTCTCTCTGCTCATTCCTCGGGTGGATTGAGAATTCAGGACGCGTGTTCAGCATCAACAGTTTTGCTCTCGATGTTGTGGCAACAAGACCGCCAGGTTCCCCTGGACAATTGGCACACATTTTTCGCGTCGCACGCCAGCACTCGATTTTCTTTTGAGTGACAGGGGTGTAACTTTGGGCCAAATGTGAAAATTCGATGCTCCACTTTGTACGGTTGTTTTAGTCGATACAATAAATCGGCGATTGAGATGTTTTGTTCTGGCTCCATCGCGGAGTGTAACACTCAATCGCGATCATAAGGAGCGCCCATTAATGAAATCTTGACTGAAAATAACGTAACTTTTGATATGCATGTAATGACAAAGTACAAAACAGAGTAACTCTGAAAAAGGCTTTCTAATTCTTCAAAGGAAACAAGTTATTTATATTGAACATTTTGAATCATGGAAATTAATGGAATGGAAACAAGATGTTTATTTACATCGGTGTTGCCTTTATTCACCGGGAAATTTTTTCTCAATATAAACACAACCAGCCAAAAAGAAATTGTGCAAAGTTTTAAGGAATTCAGCAGTCAATTAAAATATCCCGCCAAAATAATGGATTGAAAGTACACGCACATGTGCACCATGCTCGTGTATAGTGTCCGTGACAATCTAATTTCTATACAAGCTAAAGCTTAACTTTGCTTTTCTGACACCTTGACAAACTAAATAACTCATCATAAATTTGGAAAACCTGTCATCAATTACTTACACCAAATTTCAGTGTTTATTAGAATTCTGTTAGTCAGATTGTGCTGTAAATCGTCATTCTACTTGAATTGGGATCACGAGGGGGCGCTATTTTAACCTAAGACTAGGCAATCCCATTTTAATATTCCGTTTTAACTAGTTTGTATGATATCACTAGAGGGCGCATTCATTTTCCGTTGGATAACCAAAAAAAACCACTAAGTTAATGTACTCAACATTTTGAAACGTTTCTGAACATGTAACAACTACTTTCAACTAGATATCATTTTGCTTGAATGTTCTCATTTCTTCTAGAGTTTGAATAAAAGTTCCGATTACGACAGCCAGTGGCGTTAATTTATGCCGGAAATGGCGCTAGGGGTGGAGGATAGGGAAGTCCGGCCACGGCAATTTGAAAAGCCTGGGCAGGAGGTACTGACACCATACAGATGCAGATTTACAATACGTATTACATTCTACAGAATGTTACATCAGAATGACATAGTTATGGAATTTTAAAAAAAAACTGTTCTCCCTTTTGGAGTGCTATTGAATACATTTTGGTTGTTGGGAGGGGGATGATTCAATACCCATCCACCTTGTCAAAACGTGGAGGATGAATACTTCGTCCCCCGGGATTTACGCCCATGACGACAGCACATTCATCACGGATGAAATTATAATGACTACAGGCCTACAACCAAGAACAGTTGAGTGAGAAAAGCTGTTTCACCATCAAAAGCTGTGAATTTAGGAAATTGTGTACGCCATCTTCAGAATCAAATACATGGATTATCTTCGACCAACTCTCCAGAGCCCCTCTTTCCTCGTTCTCCAAACACAGCAGGCGTCTGAAAGGACTTCACTTCATGTTGATGATTCTAACAGGTGCATCTTTCACATCCTGAACGGTCCTTAATTAGACAGGACTTTGGGCAGCCGTTGACCACAGGACATCTCGCGTTGGGTCCATCTACGTACCAAAATGATACATGTGTAAGAAATTACAAAGCTCCTACACTCCAAATATTACAGACTTGAAAGTTTGAAGGTGCATGTTTGATTTTTCGATTTCAGCAGATTAGCACAATCGTTCTCAGAACATTTAAGAAGATTCTACTGGGATCGGAAAGTCATTCGGTTGGTTAGCAGTCTGGAACATTTTCATTTTTCCATTACCAAATTTACCGCCAAAATTAACTCCTCTATTGTTATGTGAACTTTCATGAAAGTGTGTAACCGATCCGTATTTTAAAGTGCTTCGAAGAAATATGAAGTTGTTCTAAGTATTGGTCATGATTGACTGTGTGTTTACGGTAAACACACAGTCAATCATGACCAATACTTAGAATGGTGTGTAAATGTGATCTTTGATTAACAACCAGAACAAGTTGACGTCTCAAGGTGCATGTACTTACTATTTTGAGCACAAGTAACTGAGTGATTTGAGTGGCAAGTGCACAAGAGCTCTCCAGTCTCGTCCGTTTTCTTGTATTTGTAACTGGCCTAGAAAACACAAATATATTTAAGTTAGTATAAGCCTCCAGTCCTTAAATATTAACCTCCCGTTTCCATTGTGTCAGGATGCAAACTAGAAATTTGGTGCAATATTTCGAGGGTATCGATATGGTTTGACGCATTCGTTATTTTAGGTCACGTGTCGACAAGCACACCTATACAACTAAGTCAACTCAAATATGCCGATTTAGAGTCTACCACGATTGTATTTAACTGTGATTTTGCAACTCTTTACCTTCAAATAGCCATCTGGTGCATCGGGATCCAGGCAACCGCATTCGTCTTTGGCCACGCACTCCGCTCCAAACTCCTGGGCCACGTCGACCCTCTGCCCCTCGGGGCAGCTGCATCCCGTCTCGCAGGCCTCGTCGCCCTCCTTGGGCACGCACTGGCTCTCCTCCAACTCGCCGTTGGTCAAGTAGTCTGCGCAAGTCTGCTTGTTGCATGGGTTGACACACCACGTGGGGGTCAGAAGTTCGCACTCAGCTGAGTAGTCAAGAAAAACAAGTCACGTGCCTGAGCGCTGTCATTTCGTTGTCGGGGCACGGTCGGGGTGAGTGTTACGATGTCATTCTTTGGCTTGATCCACTATTTTGGGTCGCTAAATACGAAAAGTATAGTTCTTAACTATATCTTGGTTATTTTATGACCTTTTGACCCTTCTAATAAAAAAGAAACCAGCTCGGGCAGGGCCATTCTCTCTCTCTCTCTCTGTTTTTTTTTGGGGGGGGAGCAAAGAAATGTTTGGGGAATAATCAAAATAAAGCATGTACATGTATATGATTTCCAAAATCTGAAAAATCCTAACTGTTGACGGATGGAAGTCAGCGGCGGGCCGTGTGAAGAGTGTTCTGTCCAGCAAAGTTAATGCCGTTCACTCCTGCTGTCGTAAAGATTTCCCAAAGCTTCCTAAGCTGCGTCTGAATCACTTGGTTGCAGATCGAACTTAAGACTTTGGATTCGCTGGTTCTAGCCATTTTAAAGCAGCAATCAAAACCACATATTCAAGCTCAGACTGGAACCAGCGAAATTGAATCCACTCGTTTCGAAAACGTATGGGAACGTGGACGAACTTTTGAGAATAACATAAAACAAAACTGCTCACTCGGCCAGTTATACGGCAGCTCAGTTAGAAGAGCACTAGACTTATAAGCAACAAGGCAAAGGTTCGAGTCTACATACATGCAGTTTTTCGGCGGGGGGATTAGTTGTGAGAGGATGTTTTTTGTAATAGGAAATTGAAGCCTGAAGTTTCTAAGTGTCCGCTAAATTGATGAGTTTGCAGTTAACCCCACCGATATATGGTAATTGCCCCCCTGACACTCCTAGGGGAAAAAATTACGCCGCCCGGAACAATGGCGCTGGGACTGAGGGCTACTGGCTTTGCACTGTGATTGGCTACTTTGGGCATGACCTCCGACCGCGAGGATATCACTTCCGTTTAGCGAAGCGTTATTTGAAGTTCTTTGACGTTCATGTATCCGATGGCAATGCTTTATCCCGGTCTTTTAATGCCAAAGTGTCGCCTTATGATAAAAACCACGGCCTTGAGACAACCACGGTAATTTATAATCTTACTAAGTATCACTGATCACGTATTTTTGGGCGATATTTTTCAAATCATTAGTCATCTTGATCAATTTTGGATGAACTGAAAAAATGTGGTGAGAATATTTTCACCAATGAGGAAGAAAAAGATAAAATATTGAGTTGATAACCGCCGCATTGAGCCAGCACGTGCTCCTGACAGAAATCTACCCACAATGCTCTGTGTGTCGTCAGCTGTGACCCGCCGCCTGACAAATTTCCTTTACTAAAATCTGTGCAAAGCCATCAGCCCTTCTCATCGGGCGCTGGGCGAAGAGCGAAACAGACTCATGCGTAATTTTCGGCCACAGCTAAGTAATTCGGACACGGTCAATTAACCTTTCCTCAAAGCCATCGTATTTTTCTGAGCAGGCCGTGCGTTTTCCTTCAAATCGGAGCAATATGAACATGCGAAGTCAGGGACCTATACAAGAACCAACAGATTTTGACTGAACACTACTCACGAAGACGGCAGCTGCAGATCTTGCACCCATTCTCGTCACGTTGTAGAGGCAGTCTGCATGGAATATTACACTCCACGCAATCGACAGCTTCAAATAAAATAAACACGAATGTTGTTCACTGAATCTCTGAAATACAATCAAGCTTATTTTTGAAATGCCTTGCACAGGATGAACACAAAACAAGGACAAAACGAGAACGTTGGGAAGGGCGAATAGGACTCATGACAGCGAACATTAAGCACTGAGACCTCGAGATAAGGGAAATAGTACCTCAAGGTGCGCGCTTACTGAAGTGTTGAATGTAACTCAAGTGCAGTCAGTTAATACTCTTTGAAGGTGTTAAATCTAACATTTTAAATGTTAAATCCAGCACTTCAAATCCAATTTTCAACGAGAAAAATGTTGGGTTTTCCCCAGAAATGGTTGAATCGGCATTTAAAACGTTAACAAAACGAGTTTAGGTGCTTGAATTTGAATAAAATGTTGGATTTAACATTAAAAACGTCGGATACAGCACTTTCAAAGAGTAGTCACCAACTGCAGTCTTGCTAGTGTTGAATTCAACAGTTCCGTGTAGGCCCATTACCACAGCAATCAATTATTTATTTACCATAGTTTTGCACGTCCAATATGGTTATTTGCCCAAGTTTGGTCTGACCTGACAAACAACAGATTAGCCTAGTCGAAAACTGCATCTTATGAGTATTTTTTCCCAAAATGAAAAAGGAAAAGATTGGCTCTGTATAAATAGTTGGCTCTTTTGTGCCCACGTTTTACTAGTAGGCCTACGCAATTATTTTGTATAGTTTTAGCGTCATCTGCATTTCACATCTACAATTACTAAACCATGGTCACAAATTACGTTTTGTATTCTAATAATTCAATCAATGTTCTCACGGGTATTAAACACTGTGGACGCCTCCATGGCAACCTTGAACAAGTATTTATAACGGTATTGTGGGAAAACGATTTTAAATATCGGATTACCAGATGTTTCCGTTGTGTTCACTGGAAGTTTATCAAACTTATGCAGCTTTATTAAGAGATAGGTTTGTGTGAGGTTGAAAGAAAGAAGAGGAGCCAGGAAATCGTGATGAAGTCCAAGAGAAAAGCAAAAAAAGTAAGCAGGACCTACACGTGGTCACATTAATGATAATGATCATTACAATTAATCGATTTTAATTGCCCATCGATCACCGAGACACGTAACAGACCAACCAATGACACTCATAGATCGATGGTATATGATAAATACAGACCAGTCTTGTCAGTGGTTGTTGTGATCTTGTGTCCAGTTCCTGAGCATTCTAAAGAGAAAGATGATTGTACACAACCTCTGTAATAAAAGCCGGTGGATATAGTTTTGCGGCTGGAGGCAAAATTGAGGGATGAAACTGAAGACCGAAATCAATTCAAACAAATTAAAACTTGGAATCTTGTTTCATATCCGAAACTATATTGGCTCACTTTCTATGGATCCATATTCCTCCTCGACTTCCACCACGACATTGTTGGAAAACCGTAGTAAAAGCAAGTATCGTACAAGAAACTGTCACAACTGTCATCCAGTGTGACATTGTTTTTTACAGACTCGTTGACATGTTTGGAAGAGCTCTCAAATTATCACCAATTGGCGAAAAGAGCACCGAGTGTGGATAAAGAACACTAGGACAAAGCGAACTGCGGACGTTATTTTGCCGAAATGAAACCAACCGCTAAAACCAACCAACATCAGTTTACGTTAACATATTTCTCATGGAATATTTTACGATTAAAACATCCACCTTGCAACCTCTCGGAGAAGAAGTGACCATGAATGCATAAGTCATTAAAAAACGCGAGAGTTTTCATGCCCGTTATACTTCAAGTGACACTGAATACGCTAAATGATTATTTTTCGTACTTGTCTTCGTCCTAATGGATGACAATTAAAATGAATTTAAACTACAAAAAAGGTGGAGGGGGGAACTGGAAGGTACCCAAAAAGCAAACAACTAGCCCTACCTCGAGCACTGGTGATAAGGAAACTGCAGTGTAGTAAGCTAAATAAGATGAAGTAATCGCTAAGGGAAAGCGTCATGATGATGCGTATGAGGACACAGCGACGGTGCAGACTGAACCTCAGTGTGAAACAAAATTATTGAGCAATCCCACTATTCGCCCTTTAAATAGTGTTTTTGCTGGCACCAATTGCCCACTTGACAATCAATAATCGGATGTTAGTTGTAGCGCCTATACCGTCGGCCTTGTTTTTGATCGATTGAAATACTAATTACATCACTAGTGATTGTTTCCAGATCAAGTAGAAGCTGCCCTAACTGGGAGTTGGAAGTTTTAATCGGTTCTATATGAAATGAAACCACCAGCCGTTAAAATGAATGACATTTCGTAGCCTTGCCATAGAGACACCAACCAGTGTGCGGCGAACAAACCCAAGTATAGAGGAGGGTGACTAGGATTCGTTTTGGCGGTCATAACCAAGAACTGGTTCGGGTAAAAATTAACCTTGATGATGTAGTACTCAAACCCTAAAAGCGATTAACTAATGAAAAACAAACAACCCAACCAATTCTTGGTTATGACTGCAAAAACACGCCCCTGCCTAGGTCTATTCTGGTAAAAGCGGTTCTCGAAGTTCAATGGGCAGGTCGCGTGCTGAACCTGCCGATTAGGTTATTCAGATTTTAAGTCAAAAGAGGGCGCTTTTAACGTTAAACAGATGGCGGCGCCCACAACAAACATTTCCACTTGGAGTACGCTGCAGCAGTCTTTGCACTATCTCCATTGCAGGTAGGGGCTCATTTCATTTCAGCAAGTGCAGGTCCATTCAACTGCTTTCGAGAAACTGATGAAGTGTCAGATTTCCATGCAGAGTCGTGAAAATTTTGAGCATGTTGAGAAAATTGTTGTTCCGACCTTGTCGGCTGTTGTCGTTGACTTTCTTCATGTTCATGATGTTCGTTGTCAGCTGGTCAGGTTGCCGGTCAGGTGATGGGGATACGTATACTTGGAGAGGGGACCCCCCCCCTTTTTTGTCATTTTAATCTCGCAAAATTGGTCGGTCCCCCTAAAAAACAAAGTCAACCCTCTCTTTTATTTGCGCTAACACTCTATTTTCCAAATTTCAAAATTGTGAGAAAATGGGACTTTCTTACTGATACACCAGCCATGGAAATTTGACTCCACCATTTTAACACTGTGGTTATCATCACCACAGGTATGGATGGTGATGTGAGAATGAGAGACATCAGCGGAGGCTCATTAATTACAATCAGCAACAGTCATTTAACAGTCACATATTTATTCAAGTGCGTAATTAACTCACAGGAGCCATCTTGACAAGCCATGAGACTTGCCTTCCCATATTGCAAATCTACATAAGCAGACTGGTACATTGTCCCGTTACACCATGGGCATGATCAGGGCTTGGGCCTAGCTATGTCGTCTTAAAACACAGTTTCCCCTCATAATTTCCCTCAAAAACATCAACCCTACAGTTATTTAAGCATGATGTCACACTCATCTACCAAGGTGAATTCAACAATTAAAATGTTGCTCTCCCTTCTGTTAAAAACAACTGGCCCAAGTCTGGGGCTAGTGTAAGTTTGGCTTTACAGTCAGTCATGGACAGTTGATAGCTCTGTCATGTCTGTTTTTCAAGGAACCTATGGTGCAGTTTTGAAAGACGTGGAGGAGTTCCATATCCAGCCACTATGCACTCACCGCCAAACATAGTTTGTACACCGTGACGAATTTCACCTTCTCTTTGTTTGTATTTTTCATTGAAGACAAATTTATTCAGCGTGCAAAACACTGAAACTGACATGATTGTCGGCGGAAGATGTGGTTTATGATTAGGTCAGTTTCTCCAGTTTCTGGATTGAGATTTATGATGCAGTCAACAACCCTTTCTATTAGTATTTCGTGCCACTTCGTTTTTTTCTCCCATTCAAGTTAACAAGTTACAGTGCTAGCTATTCTACTTTTAAGGTTTAAAAAAGGACTGAAGTTCTGCCTAAAGCTGTGAAGGACATCTGGGTAAAATTTTCTTTCCGTGAGGGTAAAATTGCATTTGATCATAGGCGTCATACATGCCGTACATGTAGTTTAAATCTAAAACGCACTAAATTTGTTTTCACAATCTGTTTGTTAGGGCAGTTCACAGCTATAATGATTAGTCAAGATCAGACCTCCCAATTCCCATCTGATCCTGCCAGATACTTGCATTAATTTTGCTGAAGCAAATGGAGTGATGTCAGTGATCCGTCTCAGGTTTGATGTCAAAGTTTATTGCATGGCTAATTCTTTTTTATTGGTAGTACTGACGGACAAGTTACAAAGATAGTTATGGTGGCCTGGAAGGAAATAATATGTTTGTTATGGAGGCGTTGGAAGATTCAGGAATGTTTAGATGATATGAGCAAGAATAACGATGATAAATCGGGTTTGAATAACAAAATATTTTCAGACACTGTGTACCTTGTAAGTGCATTTTTTATTGTATCTGTTTATCTGTTTTTCGTTAGTAATTACTAGTTGTTTTCCAATGAGGTATATCTTAAATTCTTTGAGGTTCTTGCAGGTTCTATAACCAGGTTATATTACCAACTGGCACGGATTTCTATCGGAGTTACTGATATTTATGCGTGTAAACCTTTCCTTAATTTCGTACAGCTGTAGTCGAGCCAGTCTTTACGTGCCATGGCCACCACACAGCTGGAATGGAGACGACGTTGGAAGCCAGACCTGACGGCCCAGATCTGGCAGCCCTTCCAGCTGAACAGGCAGAGGGCGCTCGTCAAGTGTCTGTTCCGAGAGGACCACTACGAGCTGCTGGTGTACGACATGGTGACGATGTGGTACGAGGAATGCAGCCGGGCAGTCTTTGAGCAGAAGGCAAAGGTAGTTACACTGTGAGAACGTGCCAAAATCAGTCCACGGTGTTTGTCCCTTGGACTTGGTCTTGCAACAAAGTATTCTGGAATCCTCATGGAGAGGCATTTGTGCCTTGCCAGACCTGTGAAGGAGTAGCAAGCAGTGTTTTGGCAAAAGGGGTGTCTGGCCATCTTTTGCACATGCTGTCAACCAATTTGGATACCTCGTTTTGTTGCAGGCAAAAACATGAAAAACGTAGCAACTTGGATGCCCGGTTTTTCAATCCAAGGCAAATGTGGACACCCCATTTTCAATTTTTAACAAACCAATTCAGTTTTCAGCAAATGATAACAACGTTGAAGCCCTGCTCATGCATGCTGATATAATTACACGTACAGGTACACGCTGATTTAATTTACACAGCGCCCTCTATCTCCTCTTAGAAAAGGCTATCACAAATGTGATAGATGGAATTTCACCGGCTTTGTATAGCATTCGTAGTACAGTTGGATAATGCTTGGTGTGGGTTTCTTGTGCTTTCTTGGCACCTGGCAAACTTGAATGTGAATTTGCAACATCACCAAAAAGAATTCGTACTTCTAATTGGCAAATAAACCGAACACGTCATCAACCCTGGGGAACATGCACGACTTCACATGCTCCTCTTTGCAGAAGTTGAATCCCAACGTGGAAGCCCCCCTGGCCACCCTCCTGCAGCATCTCAGGGATAACCTGGCCGACCAGAGGAAGAAGTCTACCTACAGCCTGGAGCCGCCCAAATCCCGGGACCAGAGCGGGATGGTGCTCAGGCTGGGCACCCAGCTGACTGGAGGGGTGCCCTTCAAGTGGGAGTTTCACTGTCAGGAGGCCACGAATGACATGGTAGGGTGTACCGAGATACTGAAAATATGCGGGGTGGAGGGGTGCAGTGGTACTCAGTCAAGTCTGACACTCTCTCGTAGTTGAAATATTTGTTAAGCTGCCAGATTTGGGATGTTTGGGCAATACCGTTCTCTACTTGATTGTTAGTTGTTTGAGCAGGGAACAGGGAAGAACTTTCAGATTACATATCTCTGGTCATTCTGACAAATGCAGAACGCAGTCAGATGCAGCAGGTATAAACGGCTGCTTAACACTGCTGCCTTGAGCAGTCAAAAGCAAAGGGGATGTTTATAGTCCCACTGAACAATGCTACATCCTGTGGTGGCTGGCTGACTCGGGACTGGAAGCTATTGGGCTTTGGGGACAGTTAGCCTGTTGGATAGTGTTGCCGAGCAGATCTCCAACTTTGACAAATGCCTGTCTATTTTTGCATCGAAACACTGCCCAAAACTATAGTAGAGGTCGGACTGAGCCAAGTAAGACCCAGAAACAGTTCAAGTTTGGTTGTAACCTGTTTAATTCTGAACCACATTAAACCTGTGCAAAGTTCAGAATCTCATTTGTGCATTACTTGTCATTCTTAATACCAAAGCCGATCCACCTTCTTGTGATTTGGTGATTTTTACAGTACGCCTGTCATCTGGCCACGCCCCTTCTTACAATGGTCTCTGAGCTCAGCAGACGAGAGGCGGAGCTTCACAAAATACTCAAGAAGAAAGATGCAGAGATAGAAGACTACAAGGCAGCAGGAGGGAAGGTCTCCAGGAGTGAGTAGGCGGGGCCAAAGTCATGGAGCTGTTTCACCACAAGAAATTGCTATGCGCAGAAAATAATGCGCAGTGAAAAACCGGTTACTGGCCTAAGTGCTGTGCAAAGCACATTACCTGAGGCTGGTTCTCTGCTCATTTGTACTAAAAAAAAATTGTGCACAATAATCTGCTAAGCTGTGTTTCAAATTCTTACTCAAAGGTTTTTTGTGGGGGAGGGTAGGGTTACCTCCTCTTGCATTCAATTCTGTCATTGTAAGTCCATCTGTTTTATTTTTCAGAGCACCTTGAAACTACACCATTTGATGCCAAGGCTTTCAACAGTGACATGAATTTTTCCAAGGTGAGCTGCGAGACACCGACCAGAGTGAAGGGAGCCAGTCATGTTTGCAGTGTTCGCCCATTTGCTGTAAAAGGGCACCAGGTTTCATCAAAACCTACAGGAGCCAAGACATTTGGAAAGACTTTCGTACACTGAAAGATTTTATTTCGGAATTTTTTGTTTTTATCAGGCATTTGAAAGTCAAGTCCAGTCACTTGGAGCCTCAGCTTTTTCAGAGCCGGGCCAAGAATTGTATCGGCAGGTCATGATGACAAACGCTTGGCTGAACCGGCCTACAGAGCAAGGTATGTCCCACACTGGGGACCCATCCTCACATTGTGTATGTTACTGAGGACAGTCACACTTGTGGGCATCGCAACAGGCCCCCTGCCCTCCCGGGAAAATAATTTTTTAAAAAAAGACAGAAAGCAAAAGAGAAACCAAAAGAAAGGGCAGACAAGGTAGAAAGGGGATGATAATGACCTCCGTTGTTGAAAATGACTCAGAATTGAGCCCTTTCATCAAGGAACATTCTTCAGTTTGCTGGTCCTGAGTGCCTCCTTCCATCCCCTCAGAAAAGAAAATCCTGGCGACTCCTATGGTCACACCCAGTGAGATCCTGAAGTCACAGTGGTCACTTTGTGCTTTTGACAAAATTTGTACAAGTTAAACACAGTGTCAGTTATTGCAGGCATGGGGCATTTCTCAGAGGTCATTGCAATCATTCTATAGTAGCTATTTTCGAACGCTTGTCAGCGAGAGATTTCTCTGGCTGTTTCCGGACGGGTCATCGCAAAATAGCCCGTATCTCATCTGGCCACAAGCTATTTAAGTGAACAGCGACACAGACATTGCCTTTAAGACTATGTTAGAAATGAGCGTTTTTTGAGCTACGACTTTGTCTGTTGTCAGCATGCACCTATTTAGTTGCCATCAGCAAAGACCTAGACATAGCTCTAGCCATGAGATTTGGACATAAAATTAATCTTAATCTTGTCTTTTGACCTGACTTTGGATCTGACTCCTGACCAGCTTGATTAAAGCTCTGTAAGTTAACAAGTTAAAGTTAACCAGTGACAAGATTTGTTTTATAATCACTTTGCTATTATATCAACCTCGCAGCCAGCTCTGACGAGGAGTTCTCGGACGACATGTCGGGTGACCCCGGCCAGACAGCGGGTGCCACCGGCCCGTCATGGGCCCACCGGTTGCCCCCGTCGCTGGTTGCCAATGCGCAGACTGCTGGGGCAAGCTACGCATCACCCACCAAGTCCGTTACTCCCAAGGGGTCACCCGTGAAAGGGGCCGGGTCACCGGGGAGCTCTGCTGAGGTAAGCAAGGCCTTGTCCAAATTACTTGGCTGTGGCTTAAAATTCCACACAGCTCTATGGGAAGTAGCTGCAACCACAGCCACAGATTGTATGAACTTTCAGGCTGCAGCCAAGTAATTCGGGAGCGGCCTAATTGAATTACGAGAACTGATGCACCATTGTCATTGTCATGTGATTCAACGAATTCAAACACCCCTCGAAGAAGCAATGAGCACTGAGTGGCTACACAGTGTGAGCATTGATTCTTGTTCCGTAGTTGCAGGGACATACACTCGATATTTCACCTATTTTGTGGGGACCAAAACCGATATGGGGACACAGAAATGGCCCCACAACTCAGTCCAAATTTGTGTGGCAAAGAAATTGTCCCCTTAACGTAGCGAATGCTCACTCACTTGACTCCACACACAGCAGCACACTCTGTGGACTGGGTACCTGACTATATGCATGACAGAGGACAGGTGACAGCCTCAAAATGTCCTAGATTTCATTGGTTGCTTTGTCCCAGTGATTCTCCTTTTGCCCAAATGTGATTGGCAGGTGTACATGTATCAACAAGGACAGATTTGTCTAGCAGTATTTGGAGATTGCGCACAGAAATTGAGATTGATTTGTGACCCACTCTGTAAAAATGAGTAATAAGTCACAAGAGCCGCTTTGAGTTGTGCACCTATAAAAGAATATTTCAAAGTGGAAATATATAGCAACCGTCAATCAATATATATGTAGAGAGAGAGAGAGAGAGTTCACCCAGATGATGTCCGTTTTCATCAGGACACCAAAAGGAGCAATACATTTATACAGAAAGCTCAACTGAAACAGAATTACTGAAAAAGAGATTTTCACAGAGTGGTAAGCAACGTCTCCCATCATTAGTGTTTTTCAAGGCACAAAACTGCTTTGAGGCACTTGCTGAGTCTGACAGAATATCAAAGCGGGCAACGGTATTTGAGCCACACACTTTGAGATGAGACTAATTCTAAGGTATGTCTGGTATGGACAGGACACTGAGTTGTTGCGGCGTCAAGCGCTTGAGAGGAGACTAGCAGAGGAGAAAGCCAAACAGCAACAACAAGTCAAGAAGAAAAAGAAAAAGATCTTCTGAGTTGAATTATCCACAGGTAATCCTTGCACATGTAATTTTTTTCTGAAATACGGTGATGGTTAGTGTTTGGTGCCTAAATTAAAAAAAAAGAAAGCTAGAGATTTTCCATACATTAACTCTACATACATCTCAGCAGTCAGCCCCCCAGTAATGGTGGACATAATACTGGGTCAGCCATTGTACAAAATATCTGGCTCTTCCTAGTCTGGGAAGACTAGTCTGGTTCCCAGACCAGAAAACACTCCAAGTGATCTTTTGGTCTGGTGGCTGCCGTGGCCACAAGAGAAAACCGGGAGGACTTCCCTCTGTTTCCAACATTTTCCAAAAAACAGCCAGAAGTGTCAGAACCCATATAGTTGATTTTCGAATAGAATCGTCAGTATTTACAACTATTAAGCTCACAAAATTAGCCCTTTCTTCAGATTGGCTGTATGACAGTGCCAGAAAACCTCCTCAATTTCTCTTTGCATTATCTTGTATGCCGATCTTCGCTTTTGCCCTACTTCAATTATGCTGACTAAGAGATGTGTGTGTGCTGGACCTACCTATTGAAGGGGGCAATCCTGAGTATTACATCATACTCTTATTTTTACGATGAAAGCTACCTATCCTCAATATTATTGAAACGGCACGGCACCAGCCTACTTGATAGCTTTTTCGTGCATATTGCTGCCAGCACTAGTTGGACAGAGTCCAGAGTTTAAAGAGATCATTGTCAGTAAACCCATTAGCCAAGTGAGCCCAGACGTTCTTTGAGAATTTTTTCTAGGCTTGAAGATCAGGGTTTAAATGATGTGGCCCCTTGGGCAAAAATATTGGGAGTGTAGTGTATGCGTACATTCTTGATGGTATCCAAGTTGTACAGGGCCTGGTTCATGGGACTTTTAGAATAATTATAGACATTCAACCTTATGGATAGTAAGAGAAATGCAATATAGAAATCGAATTACCCAGCTGAATTTAATTAATTAAAAAAAAGAAAGTCAATATCAATGTTTACACATTCATTAAACTGATGAGATATGGAAAAATGTATACTTTTCAAAGTAACCTGCACTGTTTGTTTTCCCAGAATTTTGCATGTATTTTTTAAACTATGTACAGTCCGAATTTGAATATCAGTCTTGAGACAGTGTCCATCATTAGAATTTGGTAGGAATAATAATTACAATTTTAAATAATGAATTAGAATTCTGTAATTTGATTAGAATTGTCATTTTGTAATAAATCCACACAGTGCATTTTGCCGTGTGTGCCGACTTCAGCAGCAGGCTCTCGAAACCCTTGTTTTTGTTGAAGAAGTTAAACAAGTTATAAAAGACAGAACGATAAATTTGATAGCTCACTTCAGAAAAGAAAAGAAGAAATCTTGGACAGTCCTCGTCGGCGGCTTGCATTCACCCAGCGTGTATTGTGTTTCTATGCGTTGGAATTATAAACTCACATTGACTCTTCGTCGTGGGCGTGAAGTGCGTCTATGGATTTCGCATGCACGCAAATTAGTTGGCGAATTATGGCATGGATTCTGACGCACTGCCATTTAGAGGTAGCCCTATAAAATGTCTAATGTCAAGTCCAAACGGGCAAATAAATGTCAGTTGAGTGACATTGCTGTCAGTCTCATCCATTTAGCGGTTAGAAAGTGGGGCAGATGGGCGTCTGGGAGCCTAAATATGTAAATGGGGCTTCCTGTATAGGTGTACATGTACTGTGAAATTTGGACTCCATTAAATATGGACTCACAAGTGATTGGGGTACGAAATAATAGTTACAAGGACATGGGGAGGGGGCTGAGTTGGCTTTCGAGCGTGTTCGAAACTCATCTGACACCGTATGAGAATTTTGATAGGCAGCAAAAATACTTTTTCCAGGACTTTATGGCCGTTTTGCGGAAGGGCTGGGGAGGTTATCGGCTGCCATGTCGGGCGTTATCTTGATCAGAAGAATCCAATTTTTGTCCCAGAAAGATGCAATTCGCGAAGAAACAAAATTGGAAACAGTATGGCAGATCACCATTTCCTTTTTTTACTGCTGTGTTTAGGCAAACTAGAGGAAACAAGTCTGTCTCCAGTTTCCATTTTTCTTCGTAAAGTGCCCCGGTTTAACGCTCTGGCTTTATTTGTTGTACCCTGCCGGTTATTAACCCTTTTGCGAAGTCAAACTTCCTCGCATTTCTTTGCTGGCGGTCAACCGCGGGTAATCTTTTTTTCCCCTGAAAATGGTCATTTGTGGCTACCTTAACCAGATCCTTAATTGTGCAGTGTTAATGCTCAGAACACACAATACAGATCCAATTATTCCCCATATGCAGGTGAGAGAATGACTCGGCCTATTTCAATATTTGTAGATAAACTTTTTAATAACCTAAATCAACATTTGCTTTAGGAAGTGAGACTCGAAAATCTTCCACAAGACTTCAGCTTTTTGTCCGTCTAAATTCTATTGTCCCTAGCCTGTCACGAAATGCCCATAATCACTAGCTCTGTAGACATTAAACTGACAATGGAAAAAAGGGTTGAGGGAAAAAAAACAATCGGAAACGAATTTTCCCATAGGCCTACACTAAAGAAACGTAGCTTTTTACGCGTACAATTGATTTCGATATGAATGTACAAATTATGTCATGCTGAGCCTATGTTGGCCTGAGGTTGCCTGGTGAATAACAGGTGCATGTGCTCAGTGGGTCTTAGCGTGAATTTTGCACCGGTAAATAAGCAATAAAATCTGGTACGCTGAGTTCTTTAAATTCACGTGAATAAAACTATTTGAATTCTCCGCGCTAAAGGCACTGTTTCTATGCCGATACCTTGTGATTTGGGGCAAGCTTTTGCTTAGTCACATAAGAGACGCCTTGCATCAATACACTGTTTTCAATTGATAAGAAGGGCACAAAGGAACCAGCCCATTTCAGAGATGGTGGTCGCTATGCAAAAACTTACACCGAATCACGAGGTATAGCAACAGTGTCTTTGGTCAGGGTCATTCAAAATATTATGTTTATGTGCAATCAGATGCAACTTTATTCAAATTTTACTGGAAAAAAGGCTTATTCAGCCCCGATAATGGTATGTGTCGCAAAACCAGTAACGCATGTTAACATATTGAGCTGGAAAGCAAACTGACCAGCAGCGAGGGATGGTGGTGCCAAGAAGTCGCGATAGAGTTTAACTGGACAGAACATGCCCCTTACAGTTGGTTTGATGATGATGCTGGGCTGAGACCAATTCCATCAAAATGTGATGTCATTTCGGACAGAAGATACCGCTTTCAAGGGCAAATAGTGCGTACTCAGCGGATGGAGTTGTCTTCTGCGTTTAAAGACATTTTAACCGAGTTTTTAAACTGATATTGAACTCAACTTAGAGAACTGATTATGATCGTGACGTTTGTGTGGACGGAACTTGAATATGCTGCTGCACCAGTCCTCATTAAAGAAAGATGTGTGTTTGTGCTGTCCCATCTTCGGTATGTCATGCTTGACGGGACATAACGGCGAGTGGGTACAGCGTCAATTCATCACAAGAGGGAACTTCAAGGAAGACCATCATCGCTTATAGTAGCGAACTTGCGAGACGATGATTTTTTTAATTATTCATGAAATGAATAATAATACTTGATGACAGACTGGTATTTATTTATAGCAGTAGATAGGGAGCATAACGACAAGCACGAGGAAAGTACCATCCATCCTGTCTTACCCACGCAAACTTCACAGATGACTGGCCAGTGGGCGTAATAACGGCAGTGAAATTTCTAGGGGGCACACAGTGCGCAGATCGCAAATGGGGGCACTAAAAGCAAATGGACTTGTAGCCTGTACACGGCTTGCGTTTTTTAATACTTCGAGGGGGAGGGCGAACCCGGTGGGCATGGGGACATTCGGGGTGTGCACCCTCTGTCTTCTCTCGGCGTGGTTACACCTGCACTAAGTCGGCTCAAAATGGTCCGAGGCAGGCTGGCGACAAGGACAAAACTCTGTTCATTACATGGCAGGCGAAATTAAGAATGGGGATGCTCCTAAACGTCCCAAAGAACTTTGATTGCTGTTGGAAAGTTTCACCAGAAGCTTGTCTTTGTACCCGTACGGACTGTCCCATTCAGAATGCCTCTTGAAAAGAAGGAAAATTATCAAATTGGCTATGGTGTAAACGGAAATAATAACAAGTTTAGAACAGCCTAATGCTGAGTTACGTTGGCAAAGGAAAACCAAATACGATTAAACAAGTGTATGTTACGCAATTATGACGTGGCATGGGCTCTGTAAGGACATTAAATTACGCAATATTCTTGTCAGCTCAGGAGTGTCCCCAAATTTTTTGTCCTCAACACGCACCGCGCCGGTGCGAGTGCAAGACTGGACAATTGCAACACCACATTGACGGCTCCGGAACGGGCAACCGGACTGCCAGATCATGGAGGTCAGGGCAGTGGAGACTATTATTCTTTGCTGCTTTTTTGAGAAGGGGCACGTTTTATACGACAAAACAATTTGAGCAACACTCCACCCCTTACTCGTCCAAACACACCGAATAACGAATGACATTCGACAGGAATTAGGTCTTCGAATACACATGATCTCAAAACATTTTTACAACCCACCCTCCCTCCAGCTGAAACCAGATTTGTCGAGTTCAAAACCTCAATATAACAATACAACCGCAATGCTGTCAAAACATGAAGACTGACAAATTACTCGGTGCACTTTTTAGTGCGAAACTGACGAATGTTTTGGCGGGTTGACAGCCCGCCCCGAATGAAACCAAATTCTTCAGTTCGGTTTGCGGTTCTTAATGAGGACGCTCTGTGGTGGATGCAGCGGTTCCGCAATTGTTTTCACGATCTGTTTATGGGTTGTTTCTTTCCGCTTTGCCGTCCAAAAAGGAGCTTGCATGCTTCCAAACTGGACGTTGTATCCTTCCTGTGAGTGGTGTCATTCGTTTTGACAGTGACACAAAGGATAACGAACCGACTTAGTTTTTCTCCAACTCTAGAGGTGGAGGCCAGCGACATTCAATATTAGGGATAAAATGCTGGAACAGTTTCCACACGCTAACCCATGGCGAAGATCTAGTGGTGTAACAAGAAAGTTGTTTTCGAAGAAGGGCCATAAAAAGAAACGGGAGTGGATCTTCGAGCGATCATATGAACTTTCTCAAGTGGGAGTACGGGCCTCTCTGGAGAGGGGTGTGGGCAGCCTCACCCCCAGTTAGTCAGTTTGGTCGGCAAAATCATGGTGCTGTTTGGCAAGAATGGAAAAGGAAGATGAAAGGAAAGTGGAGGTCAAGCGTCAGGTCGGGGAATCGGACTACCCGTTGCACTCATGAAATTTGCCGACTTTCATGATGGCACCCCCCCCACATTTAAAATGGTCCAGTGACGCCCGTGGGTAGGAGGCTAAATCTAGGGGGTCTTTGTACACGATTTGGGGAGGAAGAGATATGAAATAGTCACAAAAACGTAGTCGTTCTTATTGTATGAAAAATGAAAAAGGAAAGACATCGCCTTGGGAGATGGCAGCATTTCCATATTCGCTAATTGAAAGTTATATCACAGAGGTCTATTTTAGCGTTCAGTCGTAGATCATAAATATATGCATTTACAGTTATCACGGGGTAATATTGATCTTCTGTGGGCGGAACCAGACTGGGGAATGTGGAAACATTCGTAATTCATAGAGAGGCTGGCCCCCTTCTCCAAATTTGCCAAGTACCAACTTGGTAATGGAAAGATTTCCCTAAAAGGCCTACGTATGCACGAAATGCTGACTTTTCAGACCCCCCCTTCCAGTATGCATGACGTACACATATTCCACATATCTCTTGACTTCTCAGGGTGCCTTGCTTTAGCACCATTACATGTCACAGTACACTGTACATCCATTGTAGCACTGTTATCCGCAAGTTGCTTCCAAATTCTGAAATAATAACTAAAATAATGACAGGGTTTCCGACGCACAAACGCTGAATCAGGTATTATCTGCATGAGAAAGTGTATTAATATGATGGTGATTCATCAAAGGCAAATTTTTGGTTTGCGCACGGTACGTACTGGCTTGAATCCCCGCCTCCCCCTCTGCACGCATGGTGTACGCAACGGCATCCCTTCGGTGCGTAGGCCTACGTACTTTATGGACGGCCCCAAAGCTTAAAATGGCTCAGCAAAGTGCCAAATGGTATGTGTCTATACCGACGCTGGAAATGCGGTCACTACTTAATGTGAAATAAAAACTGTCTCCTCCCTTTTGGTCACGTCCGCCAACAGAAACACACCCTGGTCCATTTGGGGAGCCAACTTTCAATCAAACTGCAGCAAGGATGTTGAGGATTGCCAAATCTCCTTTACGCCACTCCCCTCCCCCCAAATATGAGTGTGTTTACCGTGAGTGTCCACCATCCGTCCGTTTAGGGTATAATTATATTACGTTTGGTGCACGATCGCGCGCGCTGTACGTAATGCCATCGAACTTTCGTTGGGTAATCAACATATTCCCCAGGGAAGCCTACACAACTCTAATGTAATGCCATGAAATCGCAGTTTGGTCGCACCCGGATGCAGATCGGGACTGACTGACAAGTGCCGAGGGCTGACTAGTCTTGGCCTGAGACAGTGATCGATAAATAATTGAACTGCCGCGGCGGCGGGCGATTTTTATCGCAGTGCGCGCTGTTCGGGTCGAATAGACCAGCAAGGCCAGGGCCGGCGCGAAACACGCAGTATCGATCACTAGCGTCTTGAGCTGAGACTATGGGGTTGACAGTAATAACTAGTTCCATCCGATCCGACAGCTCAGCTCACGCGCTCTCCGTCCTCACCTGATCCGTAGTAAGGAGTCGTGACGCCACTTGCGCATTGTCTGTAGTGGAAGACGAATAGAATGCTATCGCGATGTTTTGAACGATTTTAATAGCTCTTTCTGGACCAACAGGGCAATATTTAATGTTTGATGATACGTAATCTATAGTCACGTCTCCTTTCCTGCCAGAAATAGACAAACAGGCGCGAGCCATAATTACTCTTTGTGGCTGATATCATTTTTGAAAATTGGACAGATCTTTTTTCCAAAGCCGTCAAACAACGTTGACTTGTAACCATCTTATTTTGACGCAGATTCTTTAAAATACACATATGAGTGTTTTCTGAAATGGCATTTACATTTCAAAAGCCCTTGATTTCCCCACTGTGTAAAATTTCAAGGTTGGATTGCAGCTATTTGAGTTGAATGTCAACATTTCTTATTTGATGTCAACACCCGTATCTTAGAAGTAATGTCTTTCAGGACTGTAGATTAATCAAATGGGGATTTTAATGATCTCAAGCCAGCAACTTTCTTTCCAACCCTCTTATCAATGTATAGAAATGTTAAGATATTGAATGGGATCATAAATTATTGTGGCGGCGCTTTTAATCGGAATTTGTAGATTTCAGAAACAAAATTAATTGCCTGTCACACCTATCCAAAACCCTAACATTCACTCTATCACGAAACAGGGTACAACCCACTTGACATTGCGTCGTCAAACCTTATCGATTCTTAAATCTTCAGTGTTTTTTCACACATCAAAGGGATAGGGTTAAAAACGCATGGTGATCGTTCAATGTAACGTTTAATGGAGATTTCTCCATGTAAGCTAAGAGAGGTCATGTAATGTTTCCCAATGTTACCGAATGAAAAGCAAAATTCTGCGAGGCTCTTGTTGTTGTGTTTTAGGGAATTTAAAAGCCTGTTCTGAAATTTAAAATTAGTGGGCATCATGCTCACTCCAGATCGATAAATCGATCCTTTTAAAAATAGATAACGCTATTTATGGATAGCTATAAATGTCTCAAGAACATTTGAAGCATCTTGCTGCCTTAAGTGGATCAGAATTAAATCTTGCATCATACAGATTTAGCATGAAACAGGGATCTTCTGTGAGACAAAATGACCTTGCTTTCTTGAGAACGAGCTTCAAACTTTTTTACATAACTACAAATGTACGCAGAGAAATTCATGTAGAATGTTAGGTGCTGAATTTTTCCAGCGACATTAAATATAGTCACTATTGGAACTACATGTATAAATACATGCATGAATTCATTTTCAGCGATGTTTACCTGTCCGCATACTGTTGAATTCCTTTTTAAATCCCAAATACAGTCCTTTTATCCCTCAAATAGATTTCATTGACTTTACCCTGAATACATTTTTCACGTGGCTTAGCTGGTTAGGTTCATTATTACACCTGGTTGTTTGCCGGTGTGTAAATGCATGCGATATACATACGGTCCGTATTGAACTCAACCAGAAATCGTATAGAACATCCACCGGATTCTCGGCTGAAACGGCACCCCAATTTTCGAGTTCAAAAAATCATGTCTTGTCCCCGATCGAGTCATGCCTGGTGATCAGCCCAATTGGATTTCAAAAGCCTGTCTCGCGGCAGGCTCAATGATGACAGATTAAAACGAAAATGCTGGCTACAGGGGTGCTCAGCAGCTCGCTTAGCGTGCAGGGCAGGTCAGGCCTGACTGTCACTGTGTCCCCGCGCTGTCGCGAGATCGGTGTCTTGCGGCACATGGATGCGACATCTTGTTCAGAGGGAAGGGAAAAGGCGATCTGTTTCTCTCTCCCCTTCTCTCGCCTTCTCTGTCTCTCTCTCTCTGTCTCTCTCTTTGTCTGACGTTATATTTGAAATGGTGACGCATTCTCGGGAATTCGCTACCCGTTTATTTGGGATTCGTATCTTTTTCTGAATGAAACTTAGCCACCGACCCCGCATCGGCCCCTCGACGTGGCGCGGCCGCCAAGAAAGAGTGCGTCAGTTTTGAAAACGAAGACGGGCCTTCAGACATCATATGAAATGGAAGTCATTCAATAACGTCCAACCACTGTGGTTTAATTCCAGTTGTGTCTCTCAGCGATGCAACGATACGAGATATAAAAACCGAAAAGGAAAAAAAACACACGGAGAGAAAGAGAGAGGGCAGGGATACTCTACACGAGGGAAAATAAACAAGATCATTGGCTAGCATGCGGCTTAGGGGGATGGAGTCTTAGTCTGTGTAGTGAGCGCCGGAGAGGATAGCTTTGGCGCTTGTCGGTCTGGGTGGGTCTCGTGCTGCGCGAACCCTAGCTGTGACATCGTGGGCGTGCGGTGGCGACCCGAGTGTGAGTGTACCTTCACCTTGGCTTGAATTCATCTTGTTTGCCCTGTCACACTGCCTGACGGCCTGCAGCGTGGACGGACGGATCGCGTGCCGGGGCTTAATCCCCCCCTTCGCCCACTCGTTTTCATATACAGCTTCCGCAACATCATCCGGACATCTTCATTACGTGTATGAGGAGGACGAGGAGGAAGCGGTGCACCAGTGGCCGTAAGGTAAGTGGAGTTTTTTTTTTCCTGAGCAGTGCACTTATTTGTATACATCTTTTGTCGACACTGAATGCGTAAGAACTCGGACTCGTAATTATCGCATGGTGAACGATCATCAACAAAGCGTTAAGCTACGCAGCAGTGAGGATTGTTATACACTGTCACGTGGCTGAGGCCGTATAGAACACGAGGCGCACGTATTGGGCAGTTCGAAACTAAAATATGAAGTAACACATGGCAGAAAGAAACAAAAACACCCGAGAGCACTGTGTTTAGGAGTACGATGCACCTGACTACATGTACACTGCCACGCTCGATTAATTGTTTCCATCTCTCACGATAAAATAATCGCGGTTGCGCCTGAAAAGACGATAAAAGTGTTCGGAAGCGTTTGGAAGTTATTTTATTTCTATAAAAGATTTTTATAATCCTGGTTATATGCCTTTCTCTTTTAGCTCAAGGGTGAAAATAACTAACGAAGAAATCGATATTAATTAAAATTCAGTGATTCAGCGCCGATTATGCGGCAGACAAGCCCTTAGACCATTATTAACATGCCGGAAAGGGGGGGTTGCAATACATGATTAGACTTGCCTAGTTCATCGACCTGATTTTCAGTTATCATTTGAAACCCTAGCTGCTTTGATTAAAATTGGAGAGCTAACCTGGCCTCCTAATGCCTCCTTTCGTGACCTGGCCTGCTTTTTCAGTGTGTTGACCAAGAGCGGAACTTACTTTTTGCCTTTCTTTATCGCAATCTCTCTCATTTAGTTTAAACAAGAGTTTTTCCACAGCGAAGTCCGCGGGCGCCACTGTTTTTGAAAGCCCCGTTGCAAAACCACGATTTGCAAAAGGAAACGGCTTAAATTTTTTGGGCAATTACGTAAATTGTCACGCAGCTCACTGCCAAGTGGTATTTACAGTTTGTTTAAAAATTGGACGAGCACAGAACTCTCTGTTATCTACAACGTTGTCTTTGTAACAAACAGTGAACGATGTTTGTGGATATATCCATTTTGCGAATGCCTGCTTGACTTTCACAAATATAATCCCTGACCTTATATAAACAATGTAATGCATTCATGTAAGTGAGATTCTTCATTCGTATTTATCCGGCACAATAACTGTGCTGATCCTCCAAAAACGAGAATAACCTCCTGCGTGATTCTCCTCACCATTATGTCACTTTCTTCCAAGGAAGTGCCGAGACATTCCTTTCCTTTCCCCTCAACAAATCCTTTCGACAGCGCAGAAGAACCGCGCCGCATCCTCCCTGATTCCCGTTCGCTACTTGAACTCTTCAACTCGACAGTAGACGGTATCAATCAAGTCTACTTTGGATTTGATGACGGTGGACTGGGGGCCAGTCTAGCCTCCATCTCAAACTAACCCATTTTCTGTAATATCCCAGCGTCTGGCCGTGTCTAGCATTTCAATCATCTTGGACGCTGCCGAGTGCACAAAAAAACACAAGAAGGAGAAAACAGATATAGAGAGGAGAGAAGGAGAAGAAAAAAAAAAAACCAAAAGAGACAGAAAATAAGGAGAGCTTGGGGTGCTGACCCAAGCCTATTAATGCATGTACTTCAGCCTGTTCTGAAGGAACACTGAAAGACGTCTCCGCATCAGTCGCGATGGGGCACTGGAGCAGATGAGATGAAAAATTATCATCTTCTGTCTTACTTGGATGGGTGTCTGCGTTGTCGAAGCTCCCTGCAGAATGGTGCGCCTATGGCGTGCAGGAGAAGTTGCCCCGCGGAGAGAGCTAAATGATTTGTGCACTTAAAGAATTATACGAGAACCTATATTGGGCAGGGGGTGGGCTCCTAAGTTTCCGAGAGCATAGCCTCGGGAGGCAGAACCCAGACTCAATAATATTTATGGGGTTTTTTTTTAAGACAGCTTGGAGCGAATGGACTCAAACCACTTGACGATGGGAGGTTGCGATGTCCTTAAGTAAAAATGTTCAGGCTGAACAATAAAGCGCACTGGCGGCTCCAGTTCTTCGCTTTCCCCGAGTTAGGCTGGCGGGCTTGCGTGACTAATTTTCCGAGGGTTGCGTGCTAAAGTACATGCTCCACGATGCTACCGACGATCGAAAGACAAGGGGAAAGAACAGAACTGAATTATTGCTGTATCCTGCCAATATTAGGGAGGGATGGGCCAAAAAGGATGGCAAGAAGAGATGTGTTAAAGGGGGATTTCAATTTAGCTACCGGATATCAGAAGATAAGAGGGGAATCGCTGTTTAAACTCTGATGTCATCAGACTAAGTTTATAAGAAAAATTGTGCCAAAGGATTGAAACGTCAGACCCTCAAAACTTTTCGATTTTTATATAGTTTAGGTGACTGTATCCAGCAAGCAGTTTGTAGCGGCTCTGTACTTTAAAATCGTGTAGAGAAAATACACCAGTAATATTATTCCTAAAAAAAGTTAAATCGAGGCTATAACATCTGCACATTTTTGACACTTTAACACTTTCAGGGTAAAGTGTTTGTGTTTTCTCCTTAACTTTTCTCCAGCTCCAAGCTCACCTCTTCACCTGAACCTTTCCAACACGTTTCATGCAGGTCTGACACACACAAACTATAACACCAAACTTGTGGTTTTTGTCTCATGCGAATCGACGCTACGAATTTCCGATTTATTGGTTGCCGTAGGGCTAGCTAATGATTTGCGTTCAGTCGTTCTGTGAGGTGACCACTTCTGTCTTACAGATTGCTAATGTAGTACCAAGGTTGTGGGTGCACTGCTATGCAGAAGGGGCTTTCCGCTACGGAAATAAAAAAAAAACAGAAAGGGAGAGAAAGGTAATCGAAAACCTGTGTTTAGAGATACATCAATGGTTTATTCAGAGCAAGAAGAATAGTGCAAGGGTATACATGCACATGCGTCGCCACACTCGCAGTCTGTGCCCTGGTTTTGACAGCAATGCTTTGTCGGGTGGCGACACGTCGGGTATTCCCTTACCTGAAGGTATACACGAACGTTTAAGGTCAAGCGCGAGATGAGAAGTACATGACCACGGTCCGTCACTGCGAGCTCCCACCGCATGTCCATGTACACTGTTTCGGCCAAGTGCAGCCCAAAGGTTTCGTCCATTGCATATACAATTTCTTCCGGACGGGGGGTGTGGACGAGTCGCCATTACGTCATCGACACCGGAGTTTGACATTGCAGTCGTGTGCCCCGTTTGGAGAGTTCAAGCTCAAAGGTTGCGTTTTGGCGCAAAGGCAAACTTGGTGAGTTGAGGAGAACGGAAATTTAATCTATACTAATGCTTCAAACTCGTTACAAAAACGACACCGTGTGAAGCCCTATTTAACAGAAATTGAAAGGCAATTGTTTTCAATATTTTCAAGTCCTCAATGTCTTGAAAAACTGTGCAGATTGTAGTGCTTGGAAAAAACAAAATTATCAAGGATCGTCCTCATAACGTTTCTGCCTTGCCGCTGATTTGTAATGACTCGAGTCAATGACTCGACTCGAGTCACAATTTTTGGCGACTCGACTCGAATCACAAAAGTTAGTGACTTGTTTAAATCTGCTTTGCCAAAACGTTCAGGAATACCAACTCTTAAAGAAGCAGATCATTGTTTATTATCCTCAGAGGGATCATCCTCACAAAAGAAAAACCAAACACACGAAAGGTAAGGCATTGAATCACAGCTATTCAGCACAAAGAAACTTCTAGGGGATGTTAACGATAGAGGGCGCAGTCTCTGTCCGTCTGTTTCCCTTTTAACCGATGCAGCGTGAGTAACGGAGGTCTCTGTGATGAAATTTTGTGCAGAATAATTTTGAAAAAGCTTTTAACATTTCGAAAAACAGAGATGATAATCATCAATATGGATACGTTTACATGGGCCGCGTGAGTCACCGCCCACGTGTTTGTAAAACGGCGTATACTTTTGCAATCTAATTAACTTCCAACATCCAATTCATGTGATTACGTTCGTTTATTTGCCCTCCAATAATTCATTGGGCAAGACTCTCCTAAGTCGGGCTGACATTTCGGTTCCTTTCCTCTCGCCCGGGACGATGACAGTTTTGTCAGAAGCGGTCTGAAAATTTTATTAAGATTGCTTATAGGGGAGGTTCCATTTAACGGCTTGCGTCTAGGATATGGCCTTAAAGGCACTATCGTGGGTTTGTCTAATATCTCATGTCCTCAGGGTCAACGAAACCCCATAGACATAGCCATGGATGCCTTTATTAAAAGCGAGCCCTCTCGTGGTTTGTTTCGTATTAATTTCCCCTTGTTTCGAGGCGTTTTGTACGGACAGTGAACCCAAAATGACTATCGTGAAGAGGTATGCTATGAGCTTATTGAGTACGGTATATCACAGACATGACCAAACAGCTTGACTGATGTCCCATGCATATCGGACTTTTGGCGCTCAAGAAACGGAGAATCTCTGACTTTTCACGAGTTAAAAAAACCCCACTTTCTATCATAAACTCTGCTCTCTGTTATTGTGATAAGTACGTGAGAGTCCTTTAAGGTCTACGCGCATGTCATGACATTCGAACTGTTAATTTAATGTTTCCTAGCTAAGCACAACTTCCCTCCTGTTAGCAGAATTGTATGCCCGGCAAACATACGGCTAAGTTCACATCTCATCAGTGTGAAAGACGTCCATATAAACGAAACGTGATTGACGACCAACATGCAACACTGTTGGGACCGTGTGTTTGGGGGAAACCGTAATTGAATTGAGATAGGCAATCGATGGAACTGCAGCAAGTGCAGCCGGTGCTCGACGAAACGGTTACCGATGGCATCTGTTAAGAGACTCGCTTGTCTACATCTGGCCATTTGGGCGTAAGTTGCATGTAGCTGACGGCATGCCCGATGAAACGAGTGCCAAAAAAAGTGAAGCCTGTAACCGGTAAAGCGGTAACGCAAGCTAAATTGATTTATCTTCATTCTTTCGGCAGACCTTGTTACGGCAATGAACACTGTCAGAAACAAATGGACTTCAAGTCAACAGACGCCAAAAGGCATTTTGAGTGTGCGCGCAAACCCAGTATGCTGACGAACATAGGCTGACGAATATAGGTGGAGTCCGACCGTGTGCTTCACTTTTAGAGTCAAATATGGCAAGTGTAAAGTCACTGCCTAGACACACAGAGTAAAACTTAAGTTGCAAAATTTCGCATCTTTTAAGATCATTCCCGGAACAAATGTAAGGGAGATTGTCTGCCGGTAAGATATGAAATCTGAATTGATTTCATAATTTGTAGGTTATGATGGTTGAGTCTATAATCTGAGCTAAACACCTGTCGTGAGTAGGCATAATGATAGTTTTTTCCGTCAAGGGCCAATGTAATATCATACATTTCAAGTCAGGTGATGAGTTCTGAGCTAGTCCAGGCACGCCAGGCTGTGTCTGAGCTCAGTGTGTGTGAGTCATGAGAAAATGATGAGTTACAGTCGAATATTGAAGAATGCTGGACGTATATGTCGGGGGCCAATCCAGAAATATGGAGTTTAGGTTTGATTTCAAATCAAGAACCTAAAGTTTAATACCTCATTGTAAACAAGAGCCGAGTCTCTCGTGAGTCGTAACTATCATGAGTTCTGACTTGAGAAACGGAGCCGAAGTGGCAATATAACTGTTCCCATGCATGCGATAGACTATTTTTGAACGAAGATCCAGAACAGCCAATAATGATCACATCCTATCTGTAAAATTTCCAAATGCCCATTTTGAGGCGCCAAACACGTCGTACAGTATCTTCCACACGCTAGGAAATGCGTTTAGCAGCAGTCAAGAATTATTAATAATTATTATAATTAGTAATTATTCAAACGAACGCTACAAGAAGACGATTAGATTCTCTGTGTGTTGACCAAAACAGTGACGTATGCAGCACGAACGCACCTACGCTCGTTTGCTTCTGCAGATGCTGAGAACTATTTGCATCTTGGATAGTGCTTTAAAATAGAGACAGCCTCAACCAAATGTCCAAATAAAGACCCAGTGTGATCCTTTTTCCAACAAAACGTCAACTTTTCCGGTTAATCTTATTTTTCCCCTACAAAATCTAGCACTTCATTCGACTTGATCTTGAATGCCCGGAAGCCTGGAGGTATTGCACAACAGCTTACTAAATTTTCTTCAAATGGGAAGTGACTCAAGGAAAGGAAAACCTCACACATTTTCGGTATTCTTTGAGTGACTAAATACTTTATTCACTTTGTGGGAACTACTAACAATAATACGTCACTCAAAAAAGTTGTTGATCACCTCGTAAAATAAGAAGTGACATTCGTACAATAGCCGACAAGTCCCTGTGTGTGTGTTCACAGAGCTCTAACAAATTGCCGAGGGAAATTAGTTAAAAGCAAATAGTACGAGACTGGTGTACAGCCCGCGCTGTCATACGCAATTGACTTCACACTCAAACTCGAACCGAATTGTACGTCATCCAAACAACCGCACTTCCCAGCCGACCCCAACAGCGGGGCTCGGTGTATTGGGGCTGGCGGACAAAGGCCCCCGCTGCCGGGTGCGGCGTTCACGGTCAAGTTCACCGTCCTCCGCCAACCCGCAACCTCGCCTCCTTTTCACCCGTCAATCATTCATTCCTTGCCCCTCTGCTGAGCCCGTTTTCTGCACGATTGCCTCGTAAAAGTCTCCAGCGACACTCAATTTATTCCGCTAGATATGTGACAGGATTGACAGATACCACAAAATCATTCCACACCACCACCCTAAAGAGTTCCAAGTGGTATAGTGTGCTATATTTAATACACTGTGCTCGTTTATCCTTGGGAAAACATGCTTTACCCCAGTCCATTTGAATTTTTCCACAAGCTCGACACATCTCCCTGGTGTGATTTGGCGTATTAAACATCTCCAACATCCTTGCGGCTTCTTCAAACTAAAGAAGGCGAGTAATTCAGCTTTACGCTTTTGCAAACAAAACTCCTTTAGCACTTACCATTTCAATTTACTGAAGAAGTATTTTTAGCGTTGGTTTATGAATTACTCGGTTACCACCTAAGTTTGGTACTTGATTCTGAGTGAATACACTTAGCAAAAAACGGTTTACATCATTTTTATTGCTTCTGAAATCGTCCCCGTGATGTGTCCTAATCGAAACCACCAGAGGGGTGTATCCCGTAATTAACAAGATTGGTAGCCTTCCCCTTTTTTGCTCAATGAGACCAGACCGACCTGCTCAATGCAGGTATCGCAGACCAGACAGTGTCGTAATGCAAAAAAAATCTTCCCTCGCAGTATCGCTCTGCGCCTCGCTGAACATTAGCAGGGAATCGCCTCCAGGCGTTGACGTTCCTATTCACGGCAGATTGTCGAACAAACGATTCGGCCGCTGCTGTGCCAACAATGGAACGGAAACGTTACCGGCGATGTGGTTTTATTTTAAGGCAAGCTGTTCGCTACATTTCTCATAGGCGCACAACGCCTGGAAATTAGGCTAAGAGTCCCCTTGAACTCAACAATGACCAGAGCCAGAAGACTTCTCGAGGTGGGATTTCTTTTCAACGCAAGCACTACACAAAAGATCAACATTTGTAGACGGCCACAAAATAGGAACGAATGGCCAGAGTTACCCAATTCTCAAACAACATTTGCTGACTATCACCTCGTTCTCCTTTCTTTAGGGTTTTACAAATTTCAATTACTAATCTGCAATGAAAGCACTGGGAAGGGTATAATCGTGAAGTAGACTAGAGTGTTTTCTTTCAATTTCATCTACAGCTTGACTTTTATCAAAAGAATGTTATCGAACAATAAGCTGATTACATTTTTCGAACACACAACTTTGACGCACTCAGTCCAAATTCGTTTTCAATCAAAACAACTCAAAATACACCTGTACGCTCTGGGTTTTGTCGGTTTTCTTTGAGTTCGCAAAACTGTAACGTAACGTGTCATTTACTTTGAAAAATAAAATATTATATTTCAAAATGTCCGTGGTGTATTCTGTTGCAAGTACAGGTTAACGTCATGTGTTTGTAGTGTTCAACACCAAACTGATTCACTAATTCTCTCTTTTCAAAAACACAGAACTGTAAGTTTAAAGGCTGTAATGCAACAAGTAAAATTATCATTCTTTTTATTTGATCCTACAGCAGATAATAAACAAATTCGTTCCTCTTCCTTCTTTCCTGCAGAGTTCTGCGTCGGTGAAAAGGAGATCCCTTTATAGCTTTATACGCTACGGGGGATATTTCTCCTCAGAAATCTTAGATTGCTCTTGGAGCAGTTCTGAAGTCACGCAATCAGCTGATTCCATAGGCGCATCACGTAGGCTTATCCAACGTTAACTGCTCTAGCGGGACACCTGAATTATTGATAACTCGCCCCCTTATCGTTCCTAGTGAGGCTTGGGCGCTGCACAGCGCATCATTGAGACGCCTGGTCACCGACTGGTTTGAGTTGGCGCAGTTACTAATGGAGATGAAGGCATTAATGTAGAGAAGACGACCTTGCTTTCAGATGTGCTGTTACGTGTTGGAAGTGCATCGTGAGCCATTCATGAACCTGGCCGTGCTCTGCATTGTGACGAGAGTGTGTGCCGCAACCTCGTTACACGCGATAATATCGGTGATATCGATGACTGCACACTGACTGCAGGCCATTGTACGTTGAACTATCCTCACCAATGTGATTTTGGTTTAACAGTACTTGGGCCAACGCACACCAGGCCTGCTCACGTGAGTCAAGCGGCCTGGCCAACTCCAACAACCGAACCGCTAGCCTTTGGACACCGTGCCGGTTCTTGTCATGCCGGTTGGGCCAATCAGGGGCCGGCTTCTGCCGAGCCGTCATCCCTCTTGTGTACACTGCAGCGCACTGATCTTTGACGTGTCTGTGGCGCTGAATTGGTGGTCTTTTACCCCTGGTGGCCCACCAAAGGGCACGCCTCGTCCCGTACAGCTCACCTACCAGTTTAGTCTCACACCTGGCCGCGACCAGTCCCGTTCAGATGCTCCTGATTCGCTAACACCTCGCCAGAGCTCGGCAGAAGTTACACCAAGTCTTCCAAGTTCGTGGTGAAACAGTAATCCCGAACAGATTTTACAGAAGCCATCTTTTGGGGTTTTGGGACAAGGTGTTGTGCATACCGACTGATTGTAGCACACCTATCGGCAGATTAAACGATTGCGACACTGTGTTAGACAAAGTGCACAGATATGGCGTCGTCAAACGGACAGATACCCTAGCACGCACGAAGCAACGCATCTCCAACGGATTGCGGACTGTGTAAAAAAAAATCATATATTAGGCAGCATCATGCCACGTGCTGACAAACTCCTCTTGACTTTCTTCCTTGCCTGGCTCCTCCTGAGTTCCACTGCGCGTGCCTGTACGGGGAGGGCCAGCCAACAGTCCAAAGTACCGCGGCAGTCTACCCCGTTGACGCTCCGCCAGCGGGTACCCAACGTGTCCGAGAACACGCTGGGGGCAAGCGGCCCGCCCGAGGGCCGAATCCACCGAGACAATCCCAAATTCGACGAGCTCCTGCCCCCGAATAACAACGCCGATATCCTGTACAAGGATGAGGAAGGGACGGGAGCTGACAGACGCATGTCGAAGGTGAGTGTTTTAAATGATCCCCTCGGTATTTAGACAAACGATTGGCCTATTGAAATGCTAGAAGTTCACAGAGTTCATTCCTGTTTACACTATCTCTGAACAGTAAATGATCCTGAAGGGTTCTCGATGCGAAATGTATCATTCACATGTTAAAGTTGCGCCACAAAGTTAGTATATGTGTATAGGTAAAATTTCCATGGCTCTCAACATCGTTTTACGGTTCATTGATAGTCTGACAGTCACCGAATTCATTGATAGCCTGTGATTTTTCACCGGATTCATAACATGATTAGGTGCGTTTTTCTGCACTGACTACAACAGGGCCTAAGCCCTGTCAGAAACTCATGTTGGTGAGTAGTGTAAGGTTTTATATTTACCGTAGCTTAAAAATATAGGCTCACATGTTGCAATTTAATGGCAGAGGAAGGGAACTGAATGAATTGTTTTGTTAAAAAACAAAGTATGAGACTCTGTCAGACTGCTCAGAGTGGCAAGCTGGACCTCAAAGTCAATACAATAGCACCTGTCAAAGCTTCTGTTCTGAAGGTAATTTGAAATAATTGAATTGGCTTTATGAACAGATGGGTTTATAATACTGAAACATGAAGGACATCCGATATACCAGGTGTTATCATAATGATTCAGCACAGCAAATACCACAGCGTGTAATACGAATGGGTTAATACATCACATATAAAAGTCTACCAAAAGTGACCACTGATAGGCCACCATACAAGTGTTGACTCTTGGGGGCAAACGGAGTGACTTATGTACACACACCCGTGTACGGAGCTCCGCAGTGTAGGCCCTAAGCGTGGGTTTTTTTTCCTTAGTATAAGGAACACTGCGTGTCACAGCTAAACCGTACCAGTCGGGTGGATTTTCACATGAGATCAGATTAGTTCTGCAAATTTGATTTTTTGGTTGCAGAATTGGCACAGGGGGAAATTCCTGTAAGGTTCTCCGGTATGCTTGGGTACTAGCTTGGGAGAAAAAATAGTCGTGGAAGGCTTTGTGCCTGTCCCGCGCCGAGCAGTCGCCGGTGTTTCACCGTTTTCGTTTGCCTAGGCGATCAAGCGTCACCCTCGCATTAGCACGGTGGGGCTTAAATATGGAAATGAAGTGAAAATATTTTCGCAGCTTTGCGAGTCACCCCCGTGCATTGTTCCGCCGGGACACGGTGGTTTAAGGGCCGCGGTACAGGGTCTCAGTGGATCGGTGCGACGGTGTCCCACACGGAGATCAGCCGAGGATTTTTGGGACCTTTTTAGTTTTAAGAGATGCGACTTTCTTACCTTGGGTAGCTGAAGACGAAACTTTCATGGTTCCTAGTGTAAACTAAAATATTCTGTTTTTTTCAAAAAGAACTTAGGTCAATGTATTTCAACTATTTTCTTACCTTGTGTAGCTGAAGACGAAACTTTCATGGTTCCTAGTGTGCACTAAAATATTCTGGTTTTTTTTTTTAAGAACTTAGGTCAATGTATTTCAACTATTTTGCCAGAAATGCATGTTACTTCAAAGAAGGTGTTTTTACAAAGATTTTTTATTTTTCGGGAAAGATGCTTATGAAATGGGCTTTCTATTCAGAGCCACATTAGAAGATTTGGTTGCAATGATGTTTGTTTTATCTCAGTCTGTAAAGTTTGTTTATGTGGCACTTTCTGAGCGAAATCTATTAGTAGTTACAGAGGCATTCACGAAATGTAAACGAGGTCAATATGGAGTACTTCTCGAGACATTGTCGTCTCTACTCAACACAGAGTTCACTAACACCTGCCTTGATTTTGGCGCCCCACCGCTACACCCTCTCGACAAGCCCTCCCCCTAATGCCTTACATCAGCACTTGCCCGATAATTGTCGCCAATTCAGAGTTGATATTGAAGCACAAAAGAGCAATTCTAGGCCTCTTTTTTTTCCATCCCCAGCCGCTGAATAGAAGGAGGTTTTGGTGGTTGTTCAAACAAGGTTAGACACACACGCCGACATGGCTACGGTGGGTGGCACAGAGATGTCCAGACTTGGCCAGGATTCCGTGTGGAAGTTCTACGGCTTCGACACTGAAAACATTTGGCTGACCTAGGTTTCCCTTTTCTTGCGGCTCTGCTAAATCCAAAAATATTATTTTGTGCTTAAAATGAGCACTCCCCGTCCAATATGACAAAATCAAGACAACTGCAGAATAAAAAAAGTTCCGGATCGTGTATGTATTTGAAAAATCGCTGAGTTTTGAAAATAACGTAGGTCTGAAGCAAGTTTCCAGTCCAAATGTCTGGCCAGCAGAGGTATTCTACTGTTGTCTGATTGTTTCGTCACGTGAAGTAAAATGTATCTGGTAATCAGTTGCAGAATGGGCTGTTACATCTATAGCAACGAGATTTAAATGAACAAATTTGGAGTAAGGAAGGACAAAACTGAACCTGTTGGAAGTTAGTGGAATTAAATGTTCAAAACTTAGCTAAAAAATTCAGAAGTACAAACACATTGCAGCTGTCACAGCGATTAATATTCTGAAACATTCACTCCTCACAATACACTTTTTTTATAACATACAATGTTTGATACAGAAAAAAATCCACCACATTAGCTAGAGGAAGAGGACCCTTTCAAAACCAGACACTATAATTTTACATACCGTACATAATCAATGAATGACTTAAAAGATTCCCAACTATTAGACATGATACGATTCTTTCTCCCACGCAAGCACCCGGATCCCTTCAAAGGATGAGTGTGGCCCGCAGGCTCACCAGGACGGCTTCGGCAACAATATTGACCTAATTGGAGCGATCTTTTTAATAACTTCTTCCCCGCTCGTCGCGACACCTGTGCACGAAACCGCCATAGTGGCGCTACCTGTCGTTTCCCTGGCGCGAAATTATGACGGCCCGTCTAATAAACAAGATACTATACCACCGTATATCGTGTCGGCACCATGCAAGAAGGTATCGAACTCTTGCGCGGAGACGTCACCCACGACTTTGTATTTATAAGCATTCGTATATTTGCTGTGTCGTCAAGAGGCGAATAATCACCTCCTCAAATGCGGATCAGAAATGGTTGAAGAATACCATCGCGAAAGTCCAAAGATCAAGACTCGTAGAAACCGTAAAGGGTTGGGAATGGAGGCAAAAAAGGAATTCTCAGTAGGCCGGGGTGACGCGTAATTTTGCGGGTCAGTGTGACTGCGAATTATTTGGGGTGGGTCAATAAAGCTATTAGGTGGAAGTTACTGGCCATTATCCGGGGTTTATGTCGAGCAGTGCGTACATGTACAACTAACTTGGGTAAGCATTCCATCGGACAATCAATAGTCTAGAATGTTTTATGACAATTCCGTTAGGAGAATTAAAATCTCTGCACATGTCAGTTCACCGATGACACTACACATTATTTCAAAGTTGGTTCCTGTTGACTGCTTTGTTTTCTACACAAATTGGACCCTGATATACATCTGTGCATTGGGAAATACAATATACCTACCGCTAAACATTGGAAGTCTGCGTTTGGCTGAGAGTCAATTTTCGCATTTCAGCTTGACAGGATAGTTACTTCTTTATTTTGCACCAGCCCGAAAATGTTGACAACCAAACTCAAGCAAAATGTCTAGTTTAAAATTATTTGCTTGCAAAAATAATCATTTTTTTCGTAGATATGTAATACAAAACTGCTGCAAACTGCTTGCTGACTACAATGACCTAAAATAGAAATCTCAAAATATTTGGAGGCCTGACGTTTCGTTTCTAGCAGAATCTTTCTCAAAGGCATTTTTTCGTGTTCGTTTTCTCATTGCAGTGCCTTATGGCAAAGCTGTACCACATTTTCCAGATGTTCATGTACTTGTAAAAGATACAAAGTTTAAACAAACGCACGTGTTGAGAAAGATCGCGAGATTGTTCTCAAATCTGTTCGAAACACGACACTGCGGCAAGAATTGGATGCCGTTTTGCGAAGTTTTCGTGGCAAGTTTTACGGGACAGTTACCACCACGTGTTCAGTGCTGATTTTCAAACTGTGCGGTTGCCGCTCTGTTAGAGAACACGTGATGTCGGTCTACGAGCAGCGACGGGAGGATTTTAGTCGGTAACAGTACACGCGTGATGCAATCAATACACGTGGGTGCGTGTCTTTGCCTGTCGGCAGGAACTGGCAGTCCGCGTCATCAGAAGGAATTCGCGGGTAAATTGACTTGCGCTTGTTCATAACACGCTGTCGTTGCATTCTGTTATATTGTGGCTAACCATATGGTGTATTGTACCACATCGTAACATTCTTTACCTCTGGGTTATGAATGACCCTCATTAAATGTTGTGAGGACAGAGTGAAAGTTACATATCTTGATGTTCATCGCTCTCATCCGTTGTTAAAATGAGCAAATTCGTTCCTTAGATTTGAAGTTTGGAGAAGCGGCAACTGGTTTGGATTATGAATTTTCGGTTACTTATGGGCACAAACATCCTCCTTCCAGTGCGATTTCAAACAAAACAGTAACATCCTTTTATGACCAACTGGAGTAAGGTCTTGAGGTATTGAGCCTTAGGGAGCGATTTCGTTTAGGTTATAAAAAATACACACCGTAAACGTATTAATAAATTAGGTCCAAAAGTGTTGGCGTTAAGTTTGAAAAGCTCAAGGAAAATCAGATTAATCACCATCTAGAATCTCTTGTATCGAAACTTAATTTTGGCGATTTTGGTAATCAAGCATTTACGTTGCGAAATGTTCCTGCCAGTCATAGGCGACGTTGAAAACGTCTATGGCTGTCATAATCGCCGACTTCCTCGACACTGTCAAAAATATTTTTGAAAAGTGATTTTTTTTTGCGTGTGACTGCCTCGGACTTGACAGGCCTGTCACTCACGGCGTTATCGCTGGCACGGCGGGGGCATTAAGTGAGATCTTAAGGCGAGGTTTGTCGCCCAAAATGGGAGAGGCGGGCTTCCAGCCAGCCGGGCAGAAAAGCCGGCCACAATGCCTACGTATTCAGGGCATGGCGGTG